TCTTGCAGTACCCATTTTCGGACACACGATGGCAGCAGCGAGCACTCCCGACCGGTCTGCGCATGCTCGCTCCTTCCTCCTTCTTGCAGTATCCATTTTCGGACACACGATGGCAGCAGCGAGCACTCTTGACCGCTCTGCGCATGCTCGCTCCACCCCCTCCCTCTTGCAGTACCGTTTTTTGGACAACGATGGCAGCAGCGAGCACACCCGACCGCTCTGCGCATGCTCACTCCYCCCTCCCTCTTGCAGTATTCATTTTCGGACACGCGATGGCAGCAGCGAGACCGCCCGCGCGCTCTGCGCATGTGCACTCTCCCACCTTCTTGCAGTACCGATTTTCGGATCCGTGATTGCAGCAGCGAGGACTCTCGACGGCTTTGTGCATGCACGCCGCTCTCCTTCCATAGGAATACCAATTTTTTGGCACTCGATAGCAATTTGTACATTCGGTCCTGACCCCCCCCCCCGTCAGAACCCTTTTCCAGTATGAATTTTCGGACAAGTAATGGCAGCAGCGAGCGCTCCCCCCACCCTTTTGCAAAACCGATTTTCGGACAAGCGATTGCAGCAGCGAACGCTTAAGGACGGACTGCGCATGCGCGCTCCCCCCCCACTCTGTTGCAGTACCRAATTTTGGACACGCGATGGTAGCAGCGAGCTCTCAAGGACGCACTGCGCATGCGCGCTCCTCCCCTATCTCTTGCAGTACCTATTTTCGGACCCGTGATGGCAGCAGCGAGCTCTCAAGCACTCACTGCGCACGTGCACTCCCCCCACCCTCCTGCAGTAACGAATTATGGACACGCGATGGCAGCAGCGAGCGCTATATGCCACACTGCGCATGCGTACTCCCYCCACCCTCTTGCAGTACCGAATGTTGGACACGCGATGGCAGCAGCGAGCTCTCAAGGGCGTATTACGCATGCGTGCTCCTCCCACCCTCCTGCAGTACCAAATTTTGGACACGCGATGGCAACAGCGAGCTCTTAAAGACGCGCGGCGCTCCCCCCCCCCTTGCAGTACCGATATTCGGACAGGCGATGGCAGCAGCGAGCTCTCAAGCGCGCACTGCGCATGCGTGCTCCCCCACCCTCCTGCAGTACCGGTAGTACTAGTTAGTAGCGGCTAACACAGCGGAGCGCTCTATGTATGCACCTCCTCCTCAGCACTACAGTACTGATTTTCCAACACGCGATGGCATCACCGAAACGCTCAGCGTTGCAATACACATTTACGGACACGCAATGGCAGCAAGGAGTACGCCCTAGCGTGATGGCAGCAGCAAGACATTTTGATCTGTGCATCTCCCATACCCTTGCAGTACCAATTTTTAAGCACAGGAGGGCATGCCAGAGTAAGACTTACGTCTGACCCTTTTGGCTACACTGCTGCTTTAGCAACAGGCCTTACTCCTTACTTTCCAGAGCCTCGAGCTCTTTCCATTTTAGTTCTGGGTCTGTTTTCTCTTTTCGTTCTTTCTAATCAGTGCCTGTATTCTAACACCTAGAAGTGTTTGAAAAATAAGCATCCATGACTTTATATTGATACGTATGTACCCCCATCCTTACCTGGCCTGAAGGAGGCAATTTCATCAATAGCAGCTCTAAGAACAATCTTGCCCTCCAGTCTAAACTTGTCAGTTGTAGAAGCTTAATATGATGTCTGCCAATCTTGGGTAGCTGTCAAAATGGTCATGGTCATGGTCCTGTCCCCTTCGGTTGCATTAATGCATTTTAGATGTGCAAGTGTACAAGTTAACTGTTGGGAATGTAGGGGACATGCATGCAATTCACTTGCGATACCAATTTTTCAACAGGCTACAGTAACAGTGAGCATGATGCAGCACACTCATATGTGCACGCACTACTCCCTTACTGTTCCAATATCCTGTTTTAGGTACACAAAAGCAGTACAACACACTCCACAATACAGGGCACGTACACATGGCGCATTACATTACTGACAAGCTCCATGCAATTGGTTGCTTTCTAAAACCTTGATACCTTTTTCTTTTTATTTTTAAACAGCAACTCAAATCAAACAGCTATTAGTGTTTTAAAAGAACCCCATGGCTTCTACACTGGCATATTTGGATGCAACCTCTTTACCTGGATTGAAACAGTACCTCCTTCAAAGCCAGCTGCAGGAACAATGTTGACATCCAKTTAGAATGTGTAATTTCTAGGAGCTTAATATGACATCTACCAGTCCCAGGTAGCTGTCAAAATGGGTGTGTTTGTACTCCTTTTGGTAGCAGTACTGTTTTTTAGATACGCAAGTGCAGCAGTTAATGGGTGGGAACATAGGGCACATGCATGTTATTCATCTGCAGTACTAATTTTTGTCAGATGAGGGCAGCACTGCACACACCTGAACACACTGTGCAATGGCTCTCATTTGCCTGGCACAGTACACTCTCCTCACCTCACAGGTGCAGTAGAGAACATGGTAAGCGATGGAGCACACGTGTCAAATCAGCCTTTGCATGCATGGATGGAGTCCTCCTGCTGACCACATGCGCCGCAGTCTCTCCCACTCTCCCTGTCCCTTCAGCACATGTGCATTGGTGACCCAATGGGGCACATGCACAGCTTCACCCCCCACTACCACCACCAGCAGGGCATCTTTCTTTGCCATGATAGAAGGCTGCTCTTGTTTCCAATATATCTGGGTTGGGTCTGTCCTTCATAGAGCTGTGCACACATCTCCCATATCTCTGGGTTAAGGCAGACAACTTCTTTGAAGGCTGCATGAATCAAGCTTTCACCTGAACATTGAGAAAATACAGCACAAAATTACTCAGAGGCTCTCAGGAATATTTCTATGTTAAAAAGAGAAAGAGGAGTTCTAAATTAGGGACACTTCCTTCCCCACACAGCAAAAAAAAAAAAAAAAAAAAAAAAAAAAAAAAAAAAAAAAAAGGGTTCAGGAATATGTTACTCTATTCCAGCTGGTACCCTTACTGTACATAGCCTCCCTAAACATGCACATACACGCTACCGTCAGCCGACAAGTCCCATACCAGCACAACTGCATGGTTGTGATGCTTCAGGCAAGACTGGAGACAGTCAAATCACAATGACTGTGGCAGAAAAGGGGCAGTAAAGCCCAGAAGAGAACAGGAGTGCAGAAGAGTCCAGAAAGGCCCAAGGCCCTGACAACACAGGAAATAAAACCATGAAAGAGCGTCAAGAAGACACAAGCGCACAGAGCAGCAGAGGATGAGTCCACAATTGATGGCTGCACAAAGACATCTGGCCACAAATGACAACCTGTCCCTTTTGACTAGCTGCACAGAACAAGCCATGATCTGCTGACATGATGCTGGCGAGCGAGGCCAAGCAAAAGACACAGATACCTTTTGACAGCACCGTGCAGTGCAGGATGTGCTCCAGGAGCACAGAGAGCAACATCAAGACCTAGGCAAGACAGTGAACCTACAACACAAACTGCAGACAGGCTGGAGCTGTCTGCTGTCACACACCCTCACTTTACAACACACACACCGCCTCACTGTGCTCATCCAGAAGCCTCCTTCAGTCTGCCCTCAATGGTAGCACATGCCAAATCAGGACACCCCAGCGCACTCCACCCATTAGCTCAGTCTTTGCAGTACTCTGGGGCACCACGATGCCCTATGATGCATCCTCAACAGCAAGCACACCGTTTCACGCACATGCACACGCACACACACACACACACACACACACGACACTCCAACACACTTCACCCCTCAATTTAGCTTTTGCATTGCTCCAGGCCACCAACAGGCCTCCATCGCCACCGGCAATGGCAGACAACATGCACCCTCTTTCGTCTTAAGATGCTCCATACACCTTTGTGACCTGTCAAAGCAAAGCACTAACCATCACTCCTCTGCCAATCAGCAACAGCCTTGGTGGCAATAACCATCTCCACACCAAAGTTGAAGGGCTCCTCCGCTGCTCACCTGCACCGTGCCAATTCCAAATGCAAGCACTGTGGATGGGATAAGATCCACAGGTTTGTTCCACCATCTGGAACAAACAAAACATGATTCTATAAGAGGCCACATGTACCAAACCCACAACACCCATGTAAGAATCCTGTCCCCCCAAATGCTCTGTCATTCCATTTCCTCTTTAGAAAGGCCCATACAGTACCCAAAAAAGCCAAGCCAAGTCATCACCAAGAGGCAAGTCAGCATCAGCCCCTGTGCAATACATCTTGGACTCAACAAGCTTCCCCTTTTACCTACTCAGGTTCCTGGGGGCCACTCAGCTACTCCTCCCATAATTTCCCCCTCTCCCCCCCAAAATGCAAACAAAGAGACAGGACCGCAGCTTGAGGGGATGCTAAAAACACACCTTATTCACAGTAACGCACTCCCCAATACCTTTACCGACTCTGCTTGCTCATCATGAACGTCAGGCTACGGGTTGCAAGCCTCAGGCTGACCTGGCACCTGTCAAAGCAGAAGAGCAGTGGGAAAAGAGGGAGGGAGCCAGAAAGACAACTGCCCTACACTAAACTCCAATTCCTCTCATGGAGCAACACTTACCTCACCATGCTTCACCGGGATGTGAACGAGTCACATTCCTCCACACCTGCACACACAAATCAAAAAGGTATTGGGGAGTCACCAACCACAACATCCTCCTTACAACAGCAACATTCCAGTTCACCTTCTTAAGGCACGACCCCTTCTTCCTCCACCTCCGTAAGGCCTTCTGGGAATGCCACCTGCAACAAAATCAAAAAACACAACAACAACAAACAAAACAAAACAAAACAACTTGAAGCACAGAGTGGCTAAGCAACCACCCATCCAGGCCCTCACCACTATACTCTACACTCAACCACTGTGAACATGCACCAACAAGGCAGCTTCAATCCCAAACCGAGACGTGCATGTGCGCGCACACACACACACGCACACACACACACAGAGTAGGCACAAATATAGAGGTAAACCCTATGCAAAAGGAACTACTGCCACTCATAAGATGCTGAGAGCCAGAAAGCCCAGTGAAGTCACAAGCATGGACTCTGATGCCCCAGAAAAGACCAGAAGAGAGTCAAAGGCCAACACTCTCAATGGAAGGGGCTGGTGAGGACAGGAAGATATGGCAGAGGCTGGGCAAGAAGGACCTGAGACCATGTGACCACGTGGGAATCCTATGGGAAGCCCACCAGGGAAAAGAACCAAGGTGCCAGGAAGATGCAAAACCAGACTGGCCTCAGAAGAGGAAGGAGCAGTCAATGGGGCCTTGATGACGGTCTCAAAGAGGACCATCCACAAATTACACCGACACAGAGCTGGAGAGAAAGAGTGCCCCTTCCTAGCCACACTTGCAGCTGAAGACAAGAACCACTGGCACAAGAACAAGCATGACAGTGGGTCTGGCCAGGCAAAAAGACAACAGCCACCCAGAAAGGCCCAAGGTTTTGACAACATAGAAAATAAAACCATGAAAAGGCATGGAGAAGCAGTGCAAGGGCATGGAGTGGCAGCCAATGGGCCATGACACGAGCCACAAAGATGTGTGGCCACAAACTACAGCCTGCATCTTTTGACTGGCTGCAGAGAACAAGCCCCCATCTACCGGCACGATGATGGCGAGCCAGGTCAAGCAAAAAGACACCAGATGCCTTCTGTGCTAGTGTGGGACATGCTCCAGGAGCACAAAGAACAACGAGAAAACAAGGACCTAAGCAAAAGAAAGCAAAGATATGACGCATGCCACAGGCTACATAATGATGCACACACTTTTTTCTTTTTTAATATCTGAAGCAAGACCAAGGAAAACAAAGCCAGGTCAGACACAATTTGACCAGTGCAGAAAGAATGGATGCTTGCAAAATTAGTATATTATTGTGACACTGGTACACAATATGTGAGCAAAGAGAGGTATAGATTTGCTCTGCAAAGTTCCTGACAGAAATGAAGAATTTGAAGCTACTCTGTAAATTCTGTGCAGAATGACTTTAAAATAACATGGGGGGGGGGGGGGAACACCACACACCAGTATTTTTCAGTCTTTTTAGCAGCAAGTACTCACATTCAGCAATTTGCTGCACAGAAAAGCTGAGATAGAAGCTGAATTCCACCCTAGACAAGTTTCTTAGCTGCTCACTGACATCAGAGACATTTAGAGATGCATATTTATCTTGGATTGCAATGACAATGCCCACAAGGCCCTGTCAAAATGCTGCTCCAGTTCTGCTCAGAGTTATATTACGTATCTGAAAAACAGGACTGGAACAAGATTAGAAGGAAGGCAGTAGTCATGGGGCCCTGCACCTTTTATGTGGGACAGGTCACCCCTGGCTCTCCAGTTGCAAATAGTAGTAAGAGAGAAAGGGACACTGAGCCCTCTGTAGCCACCTGCGATCCATGCCAGAACCAACAGCCACTTGCGATCCACGCCAGAACCAACAGCCCCCTCTTACTCTGCAGATCCTACCCATCCTTTCCATTCCAGTATCCCCTGCCCAGCCTCACCCACAAACAGGATTGCAGCTCAGCAGCCCAGTGGAAAATGGAGCTCTCCCCATCGAGGTGTATCATGCAGCTCAACATGACCTCTGCCATGGCCAAACAGCACCCCTAAGTGCTCCGCTAAGCAGCTCCTCTAAGAGTTGGAAGCTTTGTGGGCTAAGCTGCCTTTTTTTTTTTTTTTTTTTTTTTTTTTTTAATGGAAGCAGAATACCCAGAGATTATTGCTCATATGTGGGGATAGGTCCAGTCATGCAACTGTTCTAGCAGGCTCCCACTTACTCTGCACAGGCACCTCAGTTTTCACATTCCATTCACAAACACTCTGCATCATCCAAACTCTAGCTCAAGTACTATTTCTTTGTTCTAAGAGGTCTTGTATGTTTTATGGCCAAGCTTGTGGCTATACATGGTCTTGTATGTTTCATTAGCCAAGCTCCCACTTTTTTTCCCTTCCTGGTTTCTTTGACTTTTTTTCCGCAACAGTGCAGTTCCTCACAGCACACAGACAACTTTTCACACCTCACAGATCCTCTTTCCCAATGGAAAAAGAGGAACATTAGCCATGGTTGCTGGCCATTTGCAGGGAGGTCCCTGACCTGTAGCCTAGAGGAGGGGCTCATGAGAACAGCAAGAGCCAGTGGAAAACATGATGAGTCAAGTCAACATTTCCGACTTTCCCCTCAACCACCCACCCACCTTTTTTTCTTTTTCCTTTCAAATATATTCTGTCAGTTCTTCGTGTTAACATCATGAATTTCTACAGACATGGGCAGCATGATCGAGCCAAGCCTCGTCCTCGCAGCATTTAGAACCTAGGGCCGGCCCGAGCTTCGCAGCCTGCATCCCGGCCTGCTGCAGCCGCTCCCGGGGCTGCCGAGGAGCCGCGCCGCATCGTAGGCGGCAGAGAGGGCGCGGGGGAGGGGGGCGCGCTGCAGCGCACCCCCAGCCGGCGGCTCCTGCGCCAAGCGCTCGCCCGGTTCGACTCAGCAGGGAGAGCCGCAACGACGGGAGCGCGGCGGTGCCGCGGCGGGAAGGTGTCTCGATGCCCTTCTCAGCTGCGCCAGGCAGCCTGCCCGTCAGCTGCTGCTGGTGCCCGGCGCCTCTGGGAGTCCTCTGGTAACTACCTGGCTCGGGTGCGTCCTAGAGAAGGGGACTCTCGGGCGGCGGCGGAAAGCCTCTCCGCTCGGGGAGGTGTGGGTGGCAGGCCCTCACAGCGCGGTCCTGAGGGGCAGCCGGGCCGCGCAGTGTAGGAGTCCCCCGCGGGGCGGGGCTGATGGCGTCCGCATGCTCCCCGTCTTTTGGCGGAGGCTTCGCCGGCCGGGCGACGGCCCTGAAGCACGGAGGAGCAGACATTGTTTTCAGAGGTCTGTGCTAGCAAAGCGACAAGCAAAGAGTCTCAGAAGAGCTCCTCAGAATGAGGTCTGTGGTGTGTGAGCCTGATTGCTTTTAATAAGCTACATTTTCTTCTGTTGAGTGTGCTCTGTATATATTCAAGTATACTTAGGTCTTTGAATATATGCACAGATATGTGCACAGACATATACTCGGAGGTGTAAGAAGGTTTTACCTACTGGAGGAGAAATGTTGTCCTTTCATTTTGTTTTTCAAATTATGGAAAAATAGAGAACTGTATTTGGGAAAGAATTTTTGAAAAGCAAAGTTCTCTTTGTTTCTTAAGACTGATAACACTTTTTTTTCCTCCTTTGGTCATTATCTACTGCTTTACAGAGGTATCTTAAATATTTTAATGGCAGAATAATTGTTTGTGTGGAAATGGCTGTTTCAACAGCAGGTTGCAAGATAGCTGGCATTCAGTCAATATTCTGAAGTTTCTAGGGACTAAGGTGATAATTACCTTAGTTCTAGTCTTGTAAGACAAGAAAACATTTTCCCAGAAAAATGTACTGTTTAAGATATTTTTGAAATGTAAATTACAAAGTCTCATTAGCTTTTTTAAAGTATTCTTTTTTATTTGTTTACTTGTTTGTTTGTTTGGCTACTATCCTGGTTTGGGACTTATTGGGTTTTATTCAGATTTTTACCTATCTTTGCTTCAGCTGTTTCATTGCTAGATTTTTTCCCTCGTTCCTCGTAAACCAGAACTGTCATTCCTATACCACAGTCGCTTGCACACTGAGATGCTTTCTGCTTCTCTGGTGATCCCAGCTGCCAACTACACTTCAAAGACTGCTATTGTGGTGTTTTTTTTTTTTTTTTTTTTTTTTTTTTTTTTTTTTTTTTTTTTTTTTTTTTTTTTTTTTTTTTTAACAAATGAGAAAAAGAATTATTTTCCTCAGATTCAGTACGAGGCTGTCATTTAGATGCTGCTGGAAGTCCATTGCTTGCCATCTGACAGGCAAGTCATCATACTGGCCTATTATTTTAATTACATAATGTGAAGTGACTCTGGCATTGCATCTTGAATGAGTAGCGGCATTTTGCAGCAAATCTGCTTGACTGTCTTGGAAATTGCTGGTTTCTACTACTTGTAGCAGAAGTGAGCAGGTCTGGGCAGAACAAAATGCAGACCTCCTGGTCAAGATCTGAGTGATATGAATTCTCCCTAAGTCCTTACACCTGCTGTTTCTATCTGGCTAAGGGCATTTGAACATTCAAAACCAACCTAGATAGGAGTGCTGGCACTATGGACTTCAGCAGAATTTAAGTCCTCTATGTTCCCTAAGTTTTGTGACCTTATTATTGGTTTTGTAAACATTTAAAAACAGATCAAAATACTCAGATTTTGTGACTTTGTTCTAGAGAACTTTTTTTTTTTCAACAATCCAGTTACGAGAAAGATGGATAGTTTTGACTTCAAATGAAAAAAATAAGTGGAACAAAACTTCTGTTTTGGATCATTGCATGTTATGCAAATAGCTCTGTACTACATGTTCAGGGGAATTTGTGAGATACTTTACTAGTGGAGAGATACAGAAAGTTTGGGTATAAAGGGGAAGTTCATCCTTTACAAGTGTCACTAAAAGTGTTTTTTTGTTTATTTGTTTGTTTGCTTTTTCGGGGGAGCAGATTTGGGAAAGTTGAGAAGATAAAATGAAATGGTAAGAGTTGTTTTGGCATCTTAATTCTAGTGTTATTTGTGAGGCTGTTAGGTTGAGATATATCAACTCTATTCCTGTCTGAGATTCTGCGGTTATTTTCCATCTATAGTCCATGTTTACAAGTTGCTCACTGTACGTGATCTCGTATGTCCTGAAGTCTTTTTAAAAGTAAGAAATTCTTTTCAATTTCTTGAAGTCATGATGAAAAGTCCTTGTTTTAAGAATAGTGTAGTACTGTTTGTAATCTGAGTGCAGATATCAAAAGTCTGATGAACTGAGTTCTTTGTTGGTCTTTATTTAATCCAAACAAAAAGGACTTGAGTGAGCCATGCTATTAAAAGGTGTGAAAGTGAATGCAGTTCTGCAAAGAAAATGGAGGAAGAATGCATTTATTTTGCTTTGTACTTTAAAGAAGGAGTTACTTAACTTTGTACTTTCCTCCAAGCCTCCAAGTTTATTACCATTCCTTCCCCTCCTTTTTTTCCCCCCAGTGAATTTCTCCTTTTTCTTAAAAATCTGACACTTGTATTTCTCAGACTATGTTTTTTAATTCATAGGTTGTGGACTTTTTCCTCATTTTTTCCTAAATTTATCTTTCTGTTTCTCAACACCTGTGCCAGTAGCATATGTTTTTATAGACTAGTGGTTTTGTTTGTTGTTGTTGTTGTTTAATTAATTAATTTATTTAGAGGTAGTATGGGGAGGAACTTGGCAAAGAATCAGCTGTAATTCCAAATAAAACTAAGGCAATTCTGCTATTTATGTCTCTTGTAAACCTGTTATTGCAGTAGATATGATGCATCTTGCAATGCCTGGCACAGAATAAGAAACATCTACCATTGCTACAAGTTGCTGACCTCAGTCCCAAGTTTTACCTAGCCAATGGATTCCCGACAGATCTACTTATTTTCTTATTTTGCTTTATTACCTGCGCTATTCTTAATTTTGTGTAGTCATTGGGAAAATAATTGTTTTGTGTAGTCAATAGGAAAATAATTGTTAGCAGGGTATTGTAAGGAAATACAGCTGTTTGTGCAAAGAAAATCTTATTTTCTACCACAGTTAAAATCTACTGCAGCATTGCAACCACAGCATAATACAGAAATCTAATGTGCTCATCTCCTTCATGTGGAGGCCTCGTATTTGCATTCCACTCTCACTGGAATTTGGGCATAGTGTTAGACCTCAGTGTGTATCTGTACTGTGCCAAGTGTTGGCAATACAAGGCAGGCCCGAATGTTTTTTCAGGCTTTGTTTTTTCCGGAGACCAACTTGGAAAGAAACTCTTTGAGGAAGAAGGCTCAATGTGAGAAATTGAAGTGAGAATCTCCACTGCTGTTGCAGTTCCTAAGATCTGCAAAAAGTAGGATGTGTTTCCTTATAGCAAATATGTAAGTTTGAGCTACTATAAATTACTTGTTTTGACTGCATTTTATACCTAGTGCACATAAGGAAAGATGAGTGGTGGCGACAACTTAATTGGAGTAAAAATGAAATATTTTAAGTGGAAGGTAATTCTTCTTTCTGTTTCATTACTTTCAAAGAAGATGGTTATTCTGAAGGAGTAAGAGTGGACTATTTTTTGTGGTAACTTTGTAATGCAGTCCAGATACTTAGGTGGAAAGCTATGATCTAGTACAAAAAGCTGAGTAGGGATGATTGTTGGTTATTTCTTTTGCATCTCCAGTATAGAAGTTCCTTTAAGTTATTTATCTGGGTATGCATATGACTCACCCTAGATGAATGACCCCTATGGAGAGACATTATTCCAGGAAGTTTATTCCCCAAATTGTTACATRTTTCTCATTTAAATGTGATGGCATTACTTCTGTCTGAACTATGAAACGACATATTTACCTATATGAGGTGAAATGACATATTTATCTATATGAGGTAAAAAAAAAAAATCAGTGTAGAGAAGAAAAGTAATTATACACGTGATCATTTCATGCAGTAATTTACTACAGTCTACTACCTGAATGGCTGTGGTATTTAATAATACAAAACAGCACAATGCAGTTTATTACAAATTTAAAACTGCTAAAAGAATTTGAGCAAGCAGAATATAATCAACTGAATTATGATCATCCAAGATACAGTTACTCTAGCAAAGCATTGTTCAGTTTTAATCAGTCTTTAATGTCAATAGTAGATTTTTTTTTTTTTTTTGACTACTGTAAAGTTTTAAAATAAGTCTTTTCATGGTCAAACATCTTAGATCATGCTGTGCTTGATGCCTGGTGTGGGGGTTTAAACCTCACTCTAGGGTTTAATAGGGCTCATGACAAGCATATAATTATTTCTGGAATGCTAGAGAAAGAACCCCTGTGAATATTTGTGTAAAAGGAGAAAACGGTAAAGAGCTTCATGCTCTTGAAAGCATTGCCATTTCCTTATGTGTTAGACTTCTAAAGACACAGCTGGAAGTTATTTAAGAGTCAGTTGCAATGAAGCAGGCTGTTGCTGCCTAACAAACTACAAACTTGGCCCTTGTTCTGAGTTTTTGAGTTTCCTCAAGAAATAATACGGCATGGTAACGTCATCCTTCTGCTAAGGGAATGTAAGTCTGAAATGGCTGCAATCCTATTTGTAGTGCAGGGTGCGGACAACATCTTTAAGTGCCCTTACTGAAGCAAAAACATTAGCCTAAAGCATGTGTTCCAGGTGTATGGAAACCGTGCGGAGGATATTATCGTCGGGAAGGTTTCTGTCAGAGTTTTCTCCAATTAAATAGCAACCAGTTTGTCCTGCCTTCCCCGTGGCTCAGCCGTTGCCCGGGCAGGGCCGCCCGCGGCCCGGACTACAGCTCCCAGCAAGCCCCGGGGGCGGCGGTGCGGTCGGCGGCGTGGCGCCTGAGTGGCTCCAGGGTGGGCGCGCGTGGGGCCGTGCGCCGGGGCAGCAGGATGTGCTCGCGGAGCCCTCGTCGCCTCCCCCGGGCGGAATACAGCCGCGGCGGCGACGCTGAAGGGGCGAGGCTTCCGCGCCCCTGCCCACATGGAGCTGAGCGGCGCGGAGGCGGCCTCCACGCGGCTCCTCAGCTTCACACAGCGGTAGCGGAGGGGGAGGATGGCGCGGGCTCGCGTTGTCGGTAGTGGTGAGGCAGTGCTCTCCTCGCTGCGCTCGGGGGCCCGGCGCGGCCGAGGCGCYGGGGTTGAGGGGAGGCGGAGGGCCGAGGCCCGCTGGGCCAGGCAGCTCCCGGGCTTCCCGGCGCGGAGAGGGCGGGTGTCTCGGCGTTGCGGTCGCCTCCGTCCGAGGTTGCTGTGGGTAGTGTGGACGGAGGCAGAACAATATCTCCTGACTGATTTTGCGACCTTTTCAACGCTAGACTGGTAAAAGCGGACGTTGGTGGTGTAGTAACTGTGGAATTACTAGCTCATTTTAGCGTGTCTGCGTCCTCAGTGAAAATAGATTAATTGCTAGGTATGTTGATGTACGGGACCTGATTGCCGGGGAGGCAAACAGACTATGTTGCTGTGATCACTAGGAACTTCTCTTCCTTGTTGCCATCCATTTATACAATGTATATCCATGCTCCAAAAGAAATGGAGGAGGGAGATGGCGTATATCCTACATACTGTAACAATGCATTAAAAATATATTTTTAATTGAAATCTTTGCTTTCCTACAGCTCATCTGTATTAAAACAATTTTGCAATGTGAGTGAATTCTAAATTATTGAACCAAGCTTGTCTGAGCCATTGCTCAATATTTCAGGGCTGGCAGCTCACCTTAATATGACAAAAATTACTCTTGAAATTGGTCTAACTAGGAAAAGTTTTCTAACGTAGACCAGATCAGGACTGAGAAAGGATGTAACCTAGTGAAGAAAATACGTAAAGACATTTAATAGAAATAACAGGATTTTATAAACTAGAAGATATGGTATGTCAATGGTATGGTGAATAAATATCTAGGTGATAGCTAAGAAGGGACAGTTGAAGAGGCAGGCTAGAATTCCCAATGCAGTGGGTAGATTTATGCAAAATTGAGTGATAATAGAATTTTGGTATTTGCATAAATTTTAAGCTAAAATATGTAGCTTTCTATAGGTTGTTTATGTAGCATTTATATTGATAAAAGATTCTGTTTTTAATTACCTGGTATATAGGTGGCACTAACTTATTATATATTATAGATAAATATTGATTTGAAAAAAACTGCAAGTGTTTTTAAATTTAGGTATATTTTAGGTACTTTGAGTCACGCTCCAGATGGTCGAGATGTTAATATTAAAATTTGTTTGGAAAATTGTTACTGTTTGCGTGTTTGCAATGGTGTACATGGAGATTCTTTCTTCTGTCTTTTTTAAATCCTGCTCTGACTTAAAGCTATTAAAATTGTATCATTCTTTAGCTCATGTTGGGTTAGAGAACATCTTCACTATTCTAAGCACATGTATATTAAGCAACAGTTATTACAGCTTGCAGTCTATATTGTATATATATTTGATCATGGGCTACATGATTGTGTTTACATATCTATTTTCAAAAATGTGTTACATTAATTTTAATTTCTCCATTATTCTTATAATTTTTAAACTTTTTATTGCTATATTGGTTTGTTATTGGGAGTGTATGAGCTTGACAAACCAGAACTAGTTCAGCTTATTATTCCTCTTTGATATGAGACTTGTCCTTAACTAAAGAGAAGGAATTATCTAGTTATTATCTAGTTCCATTCAGCGATGATTAGATGTTCCTTTCTGACTGATGTGCATAGATTTTCTTAAGCTCTGCCACTATCTGGAATTTGTAATGCATTTGTTGCATTGTAGAAACTTCTGCTTTTTAAATAGAACAATATCAGAGAAGTGTCTTTGATGCGAAAGCGGGATGGTTTGTGGTGAGACAGTTTTCTTAAATTATCTGAATATAGTTTGTGGAAAGGATAAGAACATAAACTTTTCAGGCACCCAGGCTCTTGGTGCTTTTTCTGAGCTTATCTATGTTTTCCATCTTACTTAGTCTAAGAAAATACATTGTTTCTCCATGTTAAACTCACTTGCTTTTGGTGTTCTCCTCTGTATCATTTGTTGGATATACCATATTCCATCACATCTGGGAATTTCTTGAGCTCTTTGAGTTGGAATGGAGTCTCATGAATTTACCATGCAAGAGAAGCAGGCACTTTCTTTTTTTTTTTCTTTTTTACACTTTTCATGGAAATGGTTCCATTCAGAAGGTAGTAGGCCAGCAATACACTTTGCGATGACTTTATAATTTGTGTTGGTGTTACTCAGTTATCCAGACCTGACACATGCAAGTGTCCTGACTTTTCCAAGGCTTGAAAAGATTTATTGTGCTAATCGTTGGATTTTCTACTCTCTCCTTAAAGTGTCTTACATATACTTCTCATATACACTTAATCAAAGACAGAACTTAAAATTTTAAAGCTCAGCAACAACAAAATCAATCCTGACCACTGCTTTTTTAAAATTCTGTGACCAATACTGTCAGTGACAAATGTTCATTGACCAAAATTGCTTTTGCACTTATTTCCAAGGCTACTAGCACACCTGTCCACAAAGACGAATTATATAGAACAAAAGTTGCACACAAAGAAAACGCTAGCACTTCCATAATTACAGTTGTGGGTTTTTTTTTCTGTAAAAGTGAAAATCTGAAAGCTGTACAAAACATAATGCTTTAAGATGCATCACAAATGATACATTCCACTTGTTTCTTGAAGCTTCAGCCAAATGTCATGTATATCTTAGAACACAGAAACTTTTAAAATTGTATTTAATGCATTAATACTTTCTAAGTTCGGGAGGAGAGGGTTCCAAATTCTATTCAAGGTGTATAAAAAGGCTAATAAGTTTTACCCCATAAGAAGCCTACTGTATTTATGTTTTTATAAGAAGTATTTCACTGATTAAGTTACACATTTTTAGTCATAATCTTGAGAATCCTTCATATTGTCTGGAAGTGAAAAGAAAAACTAATAGTATGACTTTGTTTTTTGTCTGTATGAATGTTTATCTTGAAATATTTTTGTTATATGTTACCTAGTCTTAATAACTGCAGAGAAAATCCTTTAGCCGGATTTATATATATATATTTTGTTGGTTTGTTGTTTATTTTGTGTTTCTCCTTTTTCTTGTTTTTTTCTTTTTGGAAAAAAGAAAACTCATGACTAATAGCATCCAAATATTTATTTCAAAGTACGCTGAAATAAGGCTTTTTTTTTTTCTTTTCCCTTCAGCTGATGAAAACATGAAAGAAGATTCTGCATTGCAAAACAACATAAAATATGCAGAATTCTTCTCTGTAAATAGCATGTGTAGCAGTAGAGAGAAATTATCTAATACAGTTCATATGGACATGTCCATGATTGCTGCAAAACAATAAAAGATATAAGTGTAACGAGTTATACTTTGGGGAGAGCGGTTCCGTCTTTTCAGTCTTCAGGCCCTGTTTTCTCTCTGTTGCAAGCTGAGAAGGAACTATTACATGTTGTACACTCCCAATTCCTGTGTAAATAATATGGCRGTGTTGCATGAAGAGGTTGACTCGAAGGTCTAATAGCATCACCACTAGGTCTAGAACAGTATTGGATGTGAAGTCCTCATGATGTGTATTCACTTAAGCTTTGAATATACTTCTAGATATTTTGCTTGAATATTAGTAAACTGCTTACCTCTGCTCAGGAGGAAGAGATTCCYAAATCTCCTGATTTAGCAAAAGCTTTTTTTTTGTTGGCCTCCATAAAATTGTTTTGTCTTCTTCCAGTTGATAAGGTGGTGAAAATTATCGTTGTTGGAGATGTGTAAAGATACATGGAGATGTACTCCATAAACTTTTAAAATTCCATCCACAGGCCATGCTTTTATGAGGTAGCATTCCGAATCAGCCTTACCTACTAGAACTGATTCTTATCGTAGTTGGTTTGTAATTCACGGAACTCCCAATTTTTTAATACTTTTTTTCTTCTTCTGCTTTCTGCCTTGCTGTGGGGAGAAAGGGAGTTATTGTTGTTATTTTAAATCAGATTATAAGTTGTGTGAACCACAGACATATATATTTAGACATATATATATGTGTATATATATATAATATGGGTATATATATAATATATATATATATATATTTTTCCTCCAATCCTAAACATGGTAGGACTTTACACTGTTTAGTTTGCCTAAGTACTTTCGTCTAGAAATAGTGTATCTCGTATATGATGAAATGGTAGCTGCCTTGATGGCAAGGGCTCTTAAGTCAGGACCCAAGTCCAATTTCTTCTTTTATTACAGACTTTCCCATTAACTGCTGTAGATTCTTCATGTAGGAACATCGTTAAAGGTATTTCACCCTGATTCTCAGGAAAGTTAAAATAGTAACTGCCTTCAAACAAACAAAAAATCTTATGTTGTTGACCTATGGATGCTTTTTAATGTTTTTCGTATCTTAAAATTAAAAATGATCTGTTTTTGTTATTACTGTGAATGTGATAGAATGATTGAGCTGCTACCCATGGCACAGACTGGGTAATCAAGTTACTATTCCTCAATGTTGTCATCCAAATCTTTTTGTTTTATCACTTTATTTTGACGTGCATATCCCCATTTGAAATATAGGAAACTCAATGTTTATAGTTAAAAGAGGGAATTTGCCGTCCATTTGGTGTCAAGAATTGCATGTTGATGTACTTAATATGGCAGGCTATATGAGATTGTATATTCCAACGCATGAGGGATTTTGAACCTTGCATTCTAGGCTTCCTTTCTGCTTGCTTGACAATTTTAGCTTTGGTAAGATTAGGTGAGGTGGAAATCTAGGAAATATTTTTCTTTCTTTACACTTTTGAATTAAAATAATTGCTTGTTTAATTTCTGCCTGTGTTTAGGCTAAGTAAAGACTCTCCAGTAAAAGTGGTAGTAACACACCAAGCATAAACTTATTGAACATATTGCATCTGTTCCCTTAGATTAAACATAGATCTCAAATACAATTATAAGCCCCCATATACCTTGGAACTCTGGACTGATCACATCATGACTAAAAATTTAATTGTGGCTTTGACTTCTAATCAGGGCACAGTCATTGCTTTCTATTTGAGGGTATTATGAAAGCCAAACTGTGATGGTTGCTAGAGATTATTCATGTTGTAAGAAATGCCGCTTTTAGTAATGAGAATATATATTGCAGAATTTGTGCAGCAGGAATTATTTTGTCAATGGTAGAGTATGGTGTTGTGAGACTGCTAAGTCTAGCTCTGAGGCTATGTGCATTAATAACGTGTTTCTTTTCTAGCTCTGTTTCTGAAGACTTGGGTTGTAGACGTGGAGAGTTTAGCAGAAAGCATTATGGATCTGTGGAGCTGGTAAGTTTACACAGCCCATCCTGTAATCCTTAACAGTTTATAATGCAGAGACCAAATGCTTTTCTTTTGACTGGAATTATTTTGAAAAATATGCTTTCTCAGGTATGCTTCAAAATGATAACTCAATAAAGAAAAGGTTCAGAGAAGGTTCGGAAATCCCCTTCTGAGACATTTTTATCATCCTGTTTATGAATCTTTCATCTTATTGGATAGAAAATGTTATATAAATAACACCTGGACTTTTGTATTTACTTCCACATTATTTAGAAAAAGATAAATCCTCTGAGTGTGTTCACTCAGGGGTATGGTGGAGGGTGTTAAAATTAAAAGAATTAGGCAAAATAAGGATATTGGAGAACCTCTTTCAGTATGAAGAAAATACAGAATAAGCTGACAGACTTTAAGGAAAAAAAGGAAGTTAACACTTTTTGTTTCTCCCAGAGAAATTTCTTTTCTGCTATTAAAAAATGAGCAATGTGTCAGGAGCTGAAATAAGTTGACTCTGTGTATAAGGCCATAATGAAATATATATAAATTTTCTGTAGAAAAACTGAAGTGGGGAGAGGTAAAAGAACTGAATCCTAGGTCTGTTACTGTAGGAAGAAATCACTAAAGTCCTATAAGGTGTTGCTGCAATTTGAAGTTCTCAGATAGCATATTAATCAATAGATACAATTTGAGTATAAATTGGTGGCTTAGCTTCTGGAAACTCTATTACAAGAATATCAGGTACTTTATTTTTTTTACCTATGTTCCGTGTATTATGTTTGGTGCTACTGGAAAAAAAGCAAGTAAACTGCTATGTATTAAGAGATTTCTATTACTAGCACTTTAGTTCTTTTGCTGGAAATAGAAAAGTTACTGATAAATATAAATTCAGTTAACCCCTATAAGTGGTCTTTTCTTTTGGTCTTTCATAAATTTCTGCTTTTATTTTATAAAAATCTGTCTTCTTGTGGGGCAACCATAAAAATATTTGATGCACTTTTAAATTTCTAACTATTTAATTAAACTTTTTCCCCTTAATATTTTTCCGTAGGAGCGTCTCAAATGCTCCATTAAGTCTGCCTTTTATTAATTGCAACCTAATCATTTTGTCTCCACTCTAAACATTGTTGTAGAAACGTTTTCTCTGTTGGTGTAGTCAATTGTCCAACTATTTTATTTACATTTCAAACAAAGCACCAGCATCTTTTGGAGTCTTTGCCATGTTAGTTTATTCCTAATATAGCTTCCAATTCCTTCAAAGCACAGGATGAAGAGAACTTTAAAATGTTGTGCAAGCTCTTCCATCAAATAAAGAGAGAAAATATTGTCCAAGAATAACCTGGGCTGCTAGCAGGAAGCTGGGAATGATTATGCATTGTTATTGTTCAGATTCCATTTCTTGTTTGCTAAAGTGTATGGCAGTCTCTCTGTTTTTTTCTTTTTTCTTTTTTCCCCAGTTTTGAGAGAAGTAATATGTAATGTAATTGGCAGCTTATCTTTGAGGGAAAAAGCACCTTATCTTCCAGTTTTCTGTTGTGTGAATCCTAAGCAATATTGTTGAAAACAGTAGAAATGATGTGTTATCCTATATTTCTGCAAATCCCCGCGTTCACTTATAAAAAGAACATGCAGAATTTCCAGAACATTTATGTAGTGTAAATATGCTGATTTTTTTCAACTGAAAGTTAGCCTTATGTGGCTGTTAATGTTGGATATTAATGTTGAAATATTTATGATATTAATAGCAGACTAGCAGTCTTCTCTATCTGATGTTGTTTGATGTCATCACTGGCAACTATACTTGGAGATTCTTGCTGTCCATCTCCTGAAAGCAAAAGCATCAGTATAAAAATGCAATAAAAGATTGCTAGTCTCATCAAGTCCTCTAACAAGGTGGTGAGAACTGGCATTAGCCTCTCTGTAAGACCCATTGTTTTGAAAGACGCAGTCTTCAAGATGAATTTCTGTAAAGAGAATGGTTAACCATGCTCATTGTTTACTATGCTCATTGTTTATCTTTTGCCTCTACGATGTGAGGGGCAGGTTGCACTTCTTGATTCTAGGTATTCTGTTTCATCATTTTGAAGTAGTAGTGGAGAACTTCAATATTTGTTTATTTGATAATTGTTTAGAATAATCATATTTTCCATGTCAAAATACATCTGTAGGCATTTTGCATGTTGGTGTAGACAGAAGCTGAAACAGGAGAACTTCTAGTTAGTGCTGATATATACTAAAAGAACAATTGGCTCGTCCCTTCATGCATTCTTAGAGTTATAATTCGATCTTCCATATCTATATTAAAACTGATAATAGCTGTTCTGATCCCATTCCTGTTGACAATCATAAAATGCCAACAAAAAGAAGGAGAAACCATAGTGACTGTGTTTACTGTCCATATGAATATGGATTTGAAATTAGAAGCTCTAATTTTAAACTCTTTTACAGCTTATATCTAGTGATGCTGATGGAGCCATCCAGAGAGCTGGACGATTCCGTGTGGAAAATGGAATCTCTGATGAAGTAAGTAATTAAAAATACTCATGGGAAGATGGGAAAGTAAAGAAACAAAACAAACAAAACAGCTTCAGTTAGTATTTGAGTAACATTTACAGTCATTTACAGTCAACTGCTGGTGAAGCAATCTTGAAAAATGCTTAGCTTAGATCTTCTTTCAAGAGTATGTAATCTGAACAATTTAATTTTTAAGGGAAAAGCTGCTGCTTCCTCAAGTTTCAGTAGCATTTTGCTCATTTTGCTATTACAAGAAAAATACGTATTCCAGTTCAACGTTTCATGTTGATGTTCTGATAGATGCTATTATGTTCAGGCTACCCTTTGGGCTTGCAAGTTTTCGAGTTTGTTCCTCAGTGTCATGAGCTTGGCTTGTAGCTCACTCTTGTTTATTTATTTATTTATTTATTTTCCCCCCTTCGCTATCTTGTGGCAGTTATGCTTCCTATAACGTATGAAATAAAAAAGCTGAGTGGAGCCTGTAAGAGTAATTTCTCTGACTTGCTGTGCTGTTAAACTCATGATGTTCTCTCTGCCCACTTACATTCCTATTAGGAAAGGATGGTTGTGGAGGGTAAGAAAGAGAGGATAATAATCTTTTGTAAAATATCTTCAACTGCAAATATCATCTTTATGTTTGAAGAAAGTAGGCTTCTCAGTCTTAATAAAGAAAAAAGTGTAAATTGTGTCTTTTAAGATCTGTTTGTTTAAGAGAATGGTAAGGAAGTGCATTTGGTAATCACTTTTATATAGATTATTCTGTATAAATGCAGCCCATGCAAAATCAGTTGCGTTTCTAAAACATTTTACCAATGGCATTTTACAAATTTTGTTTTCTCGACTTCTAGTTTGTCTACAGGTTCAACCTGAACTTGTTCAAAAGCTATGTATCACCATTTTTGAGAAAATGCTTGTTTTTAAATGCCTTTTTTTCCCCTTTTTTTTTATCAAGTAGAATTCTGTTATTCAATTTGCTTATTTTTAATTTTAAAAATACAGATCTTTAACTCAAACCCTACATTTAAGCATCTCGGTTTTTGGTGGAATTTTAAGCTGTTACGCCTAACAGTGGCACAAAAGGAAAAGACTGCAGTTATTAAAAAAAGATCTTCATATGAGATGTAATGTAAGAAGTTTTAATTTCAGCTGTATGACAACTGATTTAATTAATAATTCTGTGCTTTTTAAAACATAGAGTACAAGGCTAAAAATCATTCTAGTAAATCAGCTACTTTTCAATGGTGTTTATATGGATTGGGTTCTCCATTTTCATTCACCTTTTAATGCTCTCACAATTCTGTTTCAGAATACAGACTACACCCCAGGTACATGGCATAGAACGGATGTACATCTGGAAAACCCAGAGTGTCATACAAGATGGTATTTCAAATATTTTCTAGGAAAAGGTAATTATCTTTTTACAAAATGAATTAAGATTTATTTAGTGACAATGCAACGTAGCTTTGGACCGCAATTATTTAAATGTGGAAAAAGTTTAGTGCTATTGTTTTTATGTTAAAATTTAAGGTAGAAAATTCATCTATATTCCTTGTCTTTTTAACCTAACGACAGAGGCTATAGGCTGAGATGTAAGTTGCTGAACCAATGTGATGGTTCCCTGCTACCAAAATGGGAGACTTTGACCCTGTTATTGGCCTTGAAGGCTATACCAATTTTTTATTTTTTTATACATATGTTTGTATACGACTGTGTATGGGCAGGTATATATGCATGTGTATATGGATATATATACCACATGCATGCATTTGTATGTGCTTATGTTCTTTACATTTGATAACACTTTTTGTTGCTTTGTTTTGTTTGTTTGTTTTGTTTTTCCAACAGTTCATCAAAATTACATAGGTACAGATGCAGAGAAAAACCCTTTTTTTCTGTCTGTTGTACTCTCTGACCAAAATAACCAGCGAGTTCCTCAATATCGTTCAATTCTTTGGAGAAAAACAGTAAGGAAAAAAATACTTTTTGCTTCTCTGACGTTTTTTGTTTGCTTTTTGTTTTTGATAATTTTCTCCTCATTGACTTTTTTTTTCTTTCAGTAATTTCAGTATTTAGTATTTTTCATTTATATTTTTCATTTTATATAGTAAAAACCTGTTACCGTAGGAGGTAACATAACTAGCCTTTCTGACAGAAATCTGTGATGCCAAATTTTGTTTTTGCCTACAGCATATCTTTATTTTTAAAATTGCTGCATAAATTGTTCTTGACTATGTCCTGCAATCAATTTATACAATGATTTTATAGAGCTTTTAGGATTTCTGTGTACAATGTTAAGAAAATAACCAAATATATTAGTTTCATTATTATTATTATTATTATTATTTTCAAAATTCCTGTCCTGTAATGTCTCCTAGTTTTGTTTTTGTTTTTTTTCCCTTGATAGGGTACTCAGAAAATATGCCTTCCTTATTGTCCCACAAAAACATTATCAGTGAAATCTATACTAAGGTATGTATTTACACAGCAGTTATCCATTACAATGCTTGTCTGTAATTGTCTGGAAAGCTTGTCTGCTTTTCCTGTAATTCGGCTTCTGTTGCATGGWTTCATGATAGATTTATAAAAAGAGTAAAATTAAGTATATAAATCTGATTTGTTGAGGAAGGCAAAAAGTGGTTTTATACCAATCCTGTATTACGATAAGTTACGACTTAGAAAAGAGAAAAATTCTCTGCACTCCTCTTTGGCACAGGAACCATTTTCAAGTGAACTGGAAAACAGGTACTATATGAACTTCTGTGACAGAGAAGAAATATCTGTTTAAATTAGACAGACCAGGCCTGGAGCAGACCAAGGAGCAGTGGATTTTGACTAAAGTATAGCTGACGTAACCAAATAGGAAGGAAACTAAAAATAACATCTTCAAGAAATGGTCCTCTCGTAAATTTCACACTATGACCAACTTACACACACTAAAGCTGAGAAAATTCATTTTTGCAGACAGAGTCAGTATGGGCATGCTCGTACTCTGTCCAGTTTCAGCCTACTGAGTTTACCAAAGGTGTTAGTAGACCATTGAGCCTAGCTTCCTAATTGTGATCTCCAGGGCTGTGTTCCTGGTTTGGAGTGTCAAAACAGAGTTGACAATATTTCGGAAATCTTTCACCAACCTTTGAGAGATGAGCTAAGTCCCCTCTCTGAAATCCTGCAGCACTGGCTTCCCCAGCAGCATTTCCGATACTGAGAACCAATCCATCTCTTTCAAAGCAGTATTACAGATCACGGGTGCTAGACCAAGCATCTCTAATTAGACATAACCATGCCTATATGAGGTATCCCTCTCGATCACAGGAGTGTGATGCACAATCAGGATATATTTTCTGCATATGTTATGCAGTCAATATATGACACATATATGTAAACTTTCCTTGCTGACTGTTCTTTTGTTTTACCCCTAGTAGTCATGGTAGTAGGCTACCGACCTCTTTGTTTTTTATTATGTTACCAGTGACAGCAGATTCTTGGTCAGTAAATGTGGCAACAGACTTGCTTTCCTGCAGGTAGCCATTGTGAGTGAAGAGTGATTTCCATTGTCAACTTCCATGTCTACCCAGCAGTCCCTGTAATATCTCTTCTTAATGTCACTTTCTAACCTGTCTTCTCCTCCTCACTCATACACATTTTTGATCAGGTATCCCAGAGTGGAGAAATTCAATCTCTTGTCATCCAGGGTCTTAGGCTTTTGTTGAAACACCTTTATGGACTCCATTCCACAGTGATTTGGTCTCCTGTATGGAAAAAAAAGTGCTCATTTTGGATAACTTGTTTCTTGTAAATCTCATTTATTAGTGAGTCTGAGTCTACTTGAAGGCAATTAGACATCTCTTCATATAGTAAGGATCCTTTTTATCAACAATATAATCAGAAAACTTACTGTTCGTACTTTTTTGTCTCATATAAGTCTTGGTAAACGAATTGGATCATTTAAATTCCTTTCAAAAGGAACTAGACTAAATGCTGTCTGTATTGTGATCGAGTATAAATAACAATAGATAGAATCGTTAGATTCCGACATGCCAGAAGTTCGTTGTTCCTCATACAGACTGCATTCTGCAGTGTGTCATGTGCTGCAGAGTTCCATTAATGAATTCTAGGTGAAAGCATAGAAAAATAATAATAAATGTAGTGTCTTGAATTAGGAAAAAAAAATGTATATTGTGCCTGTTTACTGAGGTAGTTGATCTTATTTCTTACTTAAGGTTTTTTTTTTCCCCCCTATTTGTGGATCTTTGATATGTAAATGTATATATATTTCACTTGGATTATCTGTATTATTTCAGAAGAGAAGAAAGAAGAGTTTACAAAAACTAGACAGCATGTTGAGTTAATTTTAAATGCTCAGAATTGAGTATGTGTGAAGGGTGATGGAATAAAGGTTTGTGCTTTATAAGAAAACCTAATAAATTTCAACCAAATGTCCATTTCTTTATTGAAAAGTAAAAAGAAATTCGGGAAATATTAGAGGTTAGTGTTACTGAAAATAAATAGGTATTTCACAAAGTGTGCAATAAGTGAAGCCCTTTGAGCAGTTCCTTCTGTAGCTGGATAGCGGATTAATGTTGAAATGCATATTTTCCTTTCTATAAAATAATATTTCAGTTGCATTTCAGTGCTATGAGTCTTGACAAGTTTGAGAAGAGCCCAAGGGAAATTCTTGATCCTGAGATACAAAAGGTAAGAGATGACATTTTCTTGGTTTTGGTAATATTTCTGTTATTATTTTATGGAAAAAAAAAGTCACTGAGTATACTTGTTTCTTTACTGTAGTAGTATGCTAATAATTGTGAGTAGGATTATGTGTTATTACAAAGCATATTGTCTTTTCAATTGAACTGTCAGCTTCAAAAGAAAGCTTAAATATGCAATATACTTATATAAATGTAAAAGTGTTTTTTTTGTTTGTTTGTTTTTTTAAACAGGATTTGTTGGTTCTTGAAGAGCAAGAGGTAAATGTGAATTTAACTCCTGGTTCACCAGCCTGTTTATGAATGTAGTTTTACATTTGAAATATTTCTACTAATTTTTTTTGGAAAGCTGGAAATTGATTGCTTATTGCAATTAAAAACTTAATGTTAATTTTCAACATACAGAGTCAAGAATAATTTTAAATACTATTGTGAAAATTAAATATATATATTTATATAAAATAAAATTCTTAATTTATGGTTAAGGGTAAACTTTTAGGTAAAATGTGAGTATCTGTTACTCTAGTTCGTGAAGGATTTCTATGAGATGTGTATTCCTGTACAACAGGATGTGTATATACATAGCTACGTATACACAAGTTCTTAGAGAAAACATTATTTTAGGTCTTTTTTTTTTTTTTCCTGTTTGCCCGTTTATCATAGAATCTCTGGGTTTATTTTTCAGGGATCTGTAAATTTTAAATTTGGAGTCCTTTATGCTAAGGATGGACAGCTTACAGATGATGAAATGTTCAGCAATGGTGAGTTTTTCCACTTTTTTCTTAACTGTTCTATTCATCTAAATAAAAAATGTAGGATAGTGCCAGATAATGCGCAAGTGGAAATGAGAAGGGAGATGATGAATATGCCGACAGTAGTTTTGTTAGTTTTTTTGTATACATATTAGATAAAATATTGAACTTTTTAAATCTGTTTAAGAGGTTGGTACGCCAAATCCTYTGTTACACTTCAAGTACATCGGAATTTCCTGTCTAGAAGTAGGCTATACAACTTAAGCTTGAAAAGAAAAGCAGTAGGAGGAGGCAATTCTTCTTAAGTGTGAAATGTCACTCTTGATCTTCCGTTCTTAAGTTTTTATGTAGTGAGGATATCTTTTCCCTTGGACAGAGCTCTGGAGTTAGCAAGAGAGGTTACTGTTTAACAACACATGATGAAACCTTTTCAGACACAAGGCTGGATAGATATATCTATATATATATAAACATGCATAGATATATTCACATAAAGACAGAAGGCTGGGACATGAGGAGAAAATAATTGAGATGAAACTGATTTCTGCATGTAATTGAGTGTTACTGTGAACAGGACCTGTTTCTGTATATTAATCTTCAATGGCAGCTCTATGAAAAAGCAGAACTTTTTATTCTTAGTATTTCTCCTTTCTATGTGTAGAAACTGGAAGTGAAAGTTTTCAAAGATTTTTGGGTCTCATGGGCGACAAAATTACTTTGAAAGGCTGGACAGGCTACAGAGGAGGACTGGACACCAAAAGTAAGATTTGTTGAAGCAAGGAAGTAAATATTCTTCCTTACTGCATGTGGTGTTTTGTGTATAAGACAGAATTTGTCCGATGCATGCTAAATGTTCTGCTTCACCAGGAAAAAGCAGGTGAGCTTAAATAATTGGTATGGAATTCAGTAGAAGAAAAGTTTTCAATCTGTGTTCTAAAATGAAGAATTTCACTTTATATTGGAATGGAGTAGATCTGAGATAGGCTGGATGCTGTCAATAGAATCAAGTAACAATATCACTTCATGAAATTACACTCCTAGAGAATCTAAGACGTCACTCTTCTCATAGTGTTAGGACATAATCTGAACATCTTCTAGAATGTGTTTATCAAGAAATAGTGGATCAGAAAAATGGACTATTAAAGAAGATTTGGTAGTAGGACCTGAAATATCTTCTGATCCTTAGACAACCTAAAAAGCATAGTCCTGCTGTCTATGTTGTCTTCCTTTGCAGATGATACAACAGGATCATTTTCCATCTATACAGTTTACCAAGGACATGAAATTATGTTTCATGTTTCAACCATGCTACCATATTCTAGAGAGAACAAGCAGCAGGTACTTGGATTTCATTATTTTTATTTATTAAATAAACAAGCAAAAAAAGTCTCTATTTTGAATTTTTAAATATTTTAGAAATGTAAGACTCAAGACTCATGCTATTGTTTTTCTCAAAATTATACCTAATGCTGGGAAGTTACTTATGTTTGTTATGAAGATTCTGAAGTTTTTGACTTGCAGAATTCTGAAGCAAATATCATTGTCTCAAAGAATTTAGGAATTTCAGAAGGTTTGAAATTAGACATATATGAATACTCACATACATAATGTAGATCTCATAAATAGTTGTTAATGTGTATTGGGTGGAAATTTCACTTGTGAGCATGAAAATAGCTATGGCAAGCTTTATATATTTCCTCTAAAGCAGTACAGTTACCCTCTCACAGATAAAGAAGTATGTGAGTACTTGGATGCTTGTGCAAAGCTCTTGTCCATTGCTTGAAACTTGCTATATATTATAAGAAAATAAAATGTTTATACAATATATAACTAAGTGCATGTATTTACACGTGTATCAGACATCCACAGTGATTTATCTGAAATTGTTTGAAAAGTGCATGTTTCATGGTTTTATTTTTGTAAGCAATAGTTCTATATTAGATTAATTAGAGGCTATGAAATAATTTTAATGTCTTTGTTTTTTAAATTTCCATGTCATTTTTTTCATACTTTTGGCTTTGATGACAAGAACACAGCAGAATATATTGGAAGTTTATCCTTTGGAAATAAAAAGGGGGAAACCCTTTTGTGCCTCTATTTAAATTCATGGATTTGCTTTTTAGGAACGTTAGTTGTTCCACAGCCACCTATGTAAAGTAAATGTAAATATTTACTTGTTTATAGCTAAATAATAATTTTGTATTGCCTTCAGTCATATTTCTACTATACTTTCTCTTGAGATTTTCACTTCTCGTGTTATGTATGCAGTTTAGGAATATTGTATTTCATTGTTCTCTTGTAGAATCGTTAAGACATGGATCTCCTTCAAGTCATTGTATGTCATTTTTTCAGGTAGAGAGGAAGAGGCATATTGGAAATGACATTGTCACTATCGTGTTTCAGGAAGGAGAAGAGTCTTCTCCAGCATTCAAGCCATCCATGATTCGTTCTCATTTTACACGTATCTTTTTATATATGTGCATGTGTGTGAATGTGTGTGCGTATGTGTATTTTTCTTTCTTTTTTTTTAAAAAAAAAGAAAAATAAGACTTTAAATCTTCCCCTAACTCCTTCTAGTATTCCAACTTCTTTTACCTATTATCTTTTTTTTTTTTTTTTTCTTTTCTAGCTGGATTATTTTGAGAGAATCTTTTCTTCAGTGGAAGTTTCAGCATAAGCAAAATTCAGAATAAATATATGTTCAAATTAAAATCAATGGAGAGATTTTTAATTGCAAGTAGAAAACTGCATGGCATACTTTGTTTCCTCTAATAGCCAGAAATTTGTGTTTGTGATTATGTTCAGTTTTTTAAAATTGTTGTTCAATCACAAACTTTTGTATGAGACCTCCTTCATGATAGTAGAATATGCTACTATCCTAGCCTGAAATATTTTATGTCTTTACATTGACTTATATAATTGACCATTATTGAATCTGTTTTTATTACAGGAAAAAATAACTTATTTTAAAATACAAGTGAACTTCATTAGCACTGGATTAATTTCCTTATCTAGTGTGGCAGATATTTTTGCCTTGGTGAGGTATAATAAGCAGAATGATAGTTACAGGTAGGTGCTATCAGTAAATTTTTTTCACGTTAAATTTCTAGTGGAAAGAAACAGGACCTTAAGCTTTTGAGACCTTTTTTTAATATGTTTTCAAAGACTATGCCACTATGAGGTCAAACCCTCAATTTCTACTTTAAATGACTTTAGTTTTGCATTAATAAAGAAATAAATGGTTTGGTTTGCTGTGGTTCTGTTTTCCYCTTTCAGTTAGTTATGCACTAGTCGAGGAACATTTCACAGCTTGAGTAGGGTTAACTGTTTACTTTTTACCTGGATTGAATAAGATTGCATCTTGAATCAGAGGAACAGGTACTAGGATGATCAATACGGTTGGACTCTGTGATCTTGAGGTTCTTTTCCAACGATTCTATACTCCTGCAGCAACTGAAATATAACACAGCATTTCAGATTGTTTATGTAGCCTTTGTGAAGAGAGAGAGGAGAGGGGAAAAAAAAACCAAAAACATTTGAATGTGCTAGAATCCATTTGACTCAAGACCAGCCAATCTCTGTTGATATTTGAACAAACAAATTCTGAGTAGTTTAGTGGGGTTGAATATATAATGTTACCACTAACTTTGCTCTGACCTGTATTAGCTGCATATGCTGCTTGGATAATGCTTGTCTGACTGCTGRCTCGTAGTGAAGAAAATTATTCAGACTTTCTTGAAAAGTCAAAGAGTGATTGCTTTCCCTAAAGAGTCTGTGACTTAATGGGCATGTAGTATGCACAGATTTGGTGTCTGCCATTCATTCTTGCTGTGCTGGATTCATTATGGTTCACAAAAATCAGCAAGTTCAACTGTTATATCAGCTTTTCTGACTTTAACTTTCTCAGCAAAGTCAATTACACATTCCCAAGAAAACAGTTACTGTAGTTGAACCTGTTTTATTGAGCGAGAATCAAATCTTCAATGTGTATGTGATGAAGATACAGGCAAGGTGGAAAATTAATAAGGAGAACGCATTTTGTGGGTAATCAACAGTTACAGCTTGGTTGGTTTGAAAAGGACTGGATTTTGCCTGTAGCGGTAAGAGTATTGTTCTGTGAGGTCTACCAAGTTGTGTTGATACTGTTAGTAACCCAGTGTAATGGACTGTAGAACTTTGGTCTGAATGAATAGTCTGTGCCCATTTATAAACTTTTATTTTGTTATTAGGTCCATGGCATTTCTTACCTAACATATGCCTTGATAACACTTTCCAGTCCTCGCTTCTGTTTGGAATAGTTTATGTTAAAATGGCGGGGTTTAAATGTGACTTTCAATACATATAAAGAACTGTTCTTTCAATAGGCTGAAAATATTTTCAGAAGAAAGTGTTCCTCTCTTTGGGCCTCCCCTTCCATCCCCACCTGTGTTTACAAATCATCGGGAATTCAGGGATTTTGTGTTAGTGAAATGTAAGTGCTGTATATAAATTGGAATTCAAACGTTTAGTCTGTAGTAAACACTTTTCTTGCATAGTTCTGCATAGATTTATTTAGTGTTGCATATATTTATTTTTTCGAATTTCTTAAAAGTACATGGGATATCAGTTCTGTCAAACTGTTTCACTTAGATTGACCAGAAATATACAGCAACAAAGAAACAGTTATTACTGTTCTCCAGCTGCTAGGTCCAAACTGACCTTTGCATTTTCAGAATGTGTAGCCTTATGTAGCTTTGCATTTTCTTAAGGGCCTTGGAAATTTGAAGAACTGAAAATGCTGTTAGGTTAACAGCTCAGAAAACCCAGAAAGATGAGCTTTTTTGAGTGCATGGCCAATAGTAAGTTTTAGCACCATTAAGAACCTTTTAGTTTTGCAGTGATTGAGTTCTAGATTTCACCGATCTTTATTTACCCTTCTAAGTCAGCCAGAAAAGAGGTCTTTGGGACCTGATTGTGATAATTACAATTAAACATTTAGCTGACAGGAGCTTGTTTGATTTTACATGTATATGATCTCATTTCACATATAATATTTTTAGTAATGTAACTGGTTTAACACTTAAATTGAGTAGAAGTCTTTCTTTATTTTTTTAACAGTTGGGATAATTACCGAGATGACTTTAGAATTTTCCTTTTTTACTGTTTTACTGTTAAGCTTTGAGGATTGTCATTTACTTAAATACAGTTGAAAAGGGAAACAAATCTAAATTATTCATGAAGAAACAAGTATTTTCATACAGGGACAACTTAGAGTTAGTGAAAGGTAGCAAATTGTTTTTAAGTAATTATCTTCTTTTATTACATTGTTATAGTAATAAATGCAGAAAAAGCCACCTTGGAAACCCCAACATTTGCTCAGAAACGTCAACGAACTCTAGACATGCTGATTCGCTCTTTGTACCAAGACCTGATGCCCGATCTACACAAGGTAAATGTAAGTCATAAGTGATCTCTCTACCCCTTGTATATCCATTCCCACTCTTCTTAGTACACTGAATGTTCTGTAGATTAAAAATGCAATTATCCTGATGAGGACCGAAATGCATATACTAGGCTAAATATTAATTGGCATCTAACTTATTTTACAGTTGTGTGAAAGTTGTAAGAAAGTCCTTTCAAGACAGAACTCTTAATGCACTTAGTTAATAATGGGAAAAGACATAATTCTCTGGGGAGAAGCATAGCTATGTTATACTTCTTATAATCCTACCTTTAATAAGGGAATAGGAAGGTTAGGCTCTGAAGATTCAGAACAGGTGTTGGTCTATTCATCATAAAAGTGCACCTAATTTTTATGTTATTTGTAAATTTGAACCTTGTTTTCTCTTGTATAGTGATTGGATAACTTTATTCTAGAATGAGAAACAGTCTTGAGGTGATTTTTAAACCAAGAAAAGAGAACTTCAGCACTTCTAAAATTAATGATTTTTTTCCTTCATTCATTTTTCTTAGCTAAATAGGGCTACTTGAACTTTTTAAATGATCTTATAGAATGTAACACTGATAAATGCTGGCATGTTGTAAGGTAAAATAGTGAAGTATTGAAGGAGCTGTGATTTCTGTCCTTCAAAAGCTATGCAATTAGGCTCATGATGAAAGGAAAATGCCCCAAAAGGACAGAAAATTTAAGTGATATTAGGGTAAATTAACCAAAATAAAGTAATATGAAAACTTTTGGTTCCATTAAAAATGAACAAACAACCAACAACAACCCGCTACTTTCCCTGTTTTAGAACATGCTCAATAGGAGGTCCTTTAGTGATGTGTTACCAGAGTCCCCAAAATCAACACGGAAAAAAGAGGAAGCTCGGCAAGCAGAATTTGTCCGTCTTGGTCAGGTAGGCTCAATTTAGGAAGTATGTGTCTGTGTTTAGAAAAACTGTGTCACTTATCCCATTATAACTTGATTCGTGTACAGAGTTATGGCAGGATTAATACGATTCCTTCTGAGCTGAAATAGTTCTATAGTATTGGATTAACTTAACCTGCTTTAAAGTAAAATATGAGTAGAAGTATTTAACATCTAAGATAGACCACACAGTTGCAAATATTTTTGTAAAATACATAAATGGGAAAGCATGGTCAGAAAAATTATCCTTTAGGATAAAACCTAAATTGTCTGTCCCTTCTTTGTACTGCAGATGATTTCTGTCTCCAAGTAGAAAAAAAAAAAATCTTTTTCTGTGCTTTGAAGAAAATTACTCATGGAGTAATTCATAGAGTTCTTACATAAATTTCATTCAGATTGAATTTCTAGCTAAGGAAGAAGTTTTGACAGCCCTGCTAATTCAGAGATTGCCCCACATCTTTAAAAACAAAGGTGTTTGAACAGAGCAGACGCTGGCTCAAATCTTCTGTTGACTTATTAACATCTTTTTGTCTATTTCTAAACTGAAAAATGCATTTGATTCAAACATATTTGTAGAGTTAATGCCCATGGTTCATAACAGACAAAAACAGATTCAGTCTTTGGAGGATTCTTTAATAGTTATTCACTAAGAATGAATTTATCCACAGGCTGTTAGAAGGAAGCTGTTTCATAGGACTTTGGGTTTCCTTCTTAACTGTGTTACTTAATCAATATTGTTTCCTATTATGAGCAGCAGACCTTTGAAGTTCAGGTACTATCTGGATTGCATGCCAGAAATATAATGGATAATGAACATCTCTTCCAAAACTTTACGTTGCAGTACCAGCTTAAGATCAGTCTGTGGAAACTGGTGCAAAGACAGCTCAGAGCTGTTAAGTAATAGTTTGGTAGTCTTTGGTAGTCTTGCAAGGTCTTCTCTTCCATACTTGGTCTACACCATTCCGCAACAACCTGGAAGTAGTTTGCAACTCTAGACAGACATCAAAATAAAAGTAAATATGTTTTTAATATTCAGAAAGGAATGTCAGATCATTTCCTTAGTTTACAAGTTACAAGTTTTACAGAAATCCAAGGAAACTATGTTTATGTAAAGCACAGAGACCTATGATCTTCATTATTCCACAGTTGAAAGATGCTAAGATACTCATTTAGCAACTAGGAACAGTTCTTAAACAAGACCTCCATCTTGGGCATAGCCTTCTTCAAAGGGAAAGGGAATGCAGGTTAATTCATACGTATATTTTTAGTGTTTTTCTTGGAGTTCTTTTTGTATTCAAATCTTTCCCTTCAATGAAAGTTTTTCTCAAACTTAACAGCTATATGTTTTAAGTGTAGCATGTCTTTCACTCTTGCATAACACTGTGAATGTGTCTGTCCTTTAGTTACAGCCAATCTTTTTTCAGACAGAAAACAAAACTCACTGTTTGACTCAGCGGTATATTTAAGTATTTGTTAACAAGAATGATTTTTTGAGGGGAAGGTGGGGGATTGGTGACATATTTTGACTGAGCAGATATATCTAACAGAGCCCACTGGTAACTAGTGCCACCTTTATTTAGGATATAAGGAATACTGCTTCTTGCCTCAGAAAATTACTTAAAGGCCATAGGAATTCTAATCTGGAACTACTTTGTAGTTATGCAATTTACTAATTTACTTATTGCTTTGGTATTACTGACAAAAACTCAATTTAAATAAAGCATCTATTTTGTATTAGGCTCTGAAATTGAAAACCACTGTAAAAGGGGATGCCCCAACTAATTTGACAACCACAAGCCTTTGTAAAAAGGAGGTGAGTATAATGATCTGTCTGACCAAGGAGAGTTCCTAAAAACTGCTGCATTCTAAATGCCATTGAGTATGTCATTGCATCTCAATTCTGTATACCATTTACTTTTGCAATTAGGTGCTTTGGCAAAAGAAGTAATGCATAGTTAGAGTGATTCAGTAGACAATATCCAATGAGAAATTGGATAGGAAAGATAAATCTGGAGCAGAAGCACTTCTGAAGTTTAAAGAAGGTCAAAATATGTTAATATCTGAGAGTAGTTAATGAGAATTCCATATTTTTCTGTATGCAATCAACTTTTAACTTCCCATCAGATTTAAAACAAAATTCAGTTATGTTTTTATTTCCAATGTAGTAATAACCTTTTCCAGGGAATAGAGAGTAAAAGATAGAAAGCCACACTTTCTTGTGTGCCTCTTATGCAGTAGGGTCAGAAATGCTTGTAGCATTTCAGGGACTTCAGCTAATATTTGTTAATTGTTGGGGAGAGTAAGGTAATATTTGATGGGGAAGGGAAAGTACTTGGGAGGTAAGCAGTGAGCTGAATATCATTTGTGCCAGTTTTGATTCCAGTATTCCAGAGATGCAGCTTATATTTATTAGTCTTCCAAGCCAACTGATAGGGACAATATTTCCTCTGTAAGATAACAAACTAAACTCTGGTATCTCAAGTTTAGAAATATATTTTTGAGTAATAGAAATTGCCAAAAATACCTATGCTATTACTTGTCACTGTGTATCACATTTTGTTTCTTTACAATTACTATTTACTACTGTACTTAATATATATACCTTATGTTACTTCATAGCCTTGGGAGGCCCAGTCTTTCTGCAACAATTTTCCTCATGAGGTTGTCTGTGCGGATTCTTGGGGCCAATCCTTGCTAGTTTCTACAGATGCTGGCATCTTATTAGTAGATGGTTAGTAATGATCTAGAGTTTTTTATGTCAATTATTTATGTATCTGACCAGAGTCCTGAAAACATTTGTTCATAAACTCTGTTCAGCTGTTTGCTGCTCTTTGCTTATAAAGATAGTTAGCAATCCAAGTGAGTTTATTACATTTATGTAACCTAGTTGCAAAAATTCTCTCTGCACGAGAATCAAGTCGTATCAAGGAATCTATTTTAATGTAAAATTTTGAATGCTTTGTTATTTCCAGTGCTGTTTTCTCAACTATCTGAAATGACTTATGAAATCAAATGAAAATTCAGGGAGTATCTGTGTAATCTGTCTGGATTTCTTAGTCCTTGATGATACTATTAAGTGTGAAGCGAAAGGCTTGTGGCAAAGAAGGTCTGAACTTCCATAGCCAAGACTTTTCCTGGCTTGACTTTTTATGCTTTGTGAGCCATGTAAGGCTGTCAGAGCTGAAGGAGGAAGTTAATTCTTGGTGATTATTCTCAAACTCCCCAAAGGAAAGGTCCCTTTTATGCTCCATAATCTGATCCATGGCAGTGATGAAACTCTCCCTTAAGGAAATATCAGCTGCGATACCACAATATTCATAGCAGACTTAAGCAGGTTGCCTCATTCTCATGAGAAAAGAATAGGGCTTTAATTACAAGAATGAATTAGTTCAAAATCACTTACTAGCAAATTTTAAAGAGAATGTATGTTTCTTTTTAAGATGATCAACCTTTGGTACAAGTATTTGATAAAACTCTCCAAATAAAGCAGATGCATGTGCTGGAAGCTCTGAATCTTTTGATTGCCAGAACAGACAAAGGTAGGAGAAGTTCCTTTTCCTTGATTTTTAATATAAATGTTGTTGGCTCGCTGCTGTTCAGGAGACACAACAGTAGAAGGGAATAGTCCAGCTATTTGTCTTAAAGAAAGAAGCATAAAAATGCTACAGGTTTTAATTCTTGCAGTACTACACTTATACAATCACCTTTTGTGACTGTACACAGCTATCCCATAGCTGCTGTTAGGTTTTAGAGTTTTTATTGTTTTGCTTTAGAGATAATTTTACCTCTTTCCCTTTCCCTGTTTCCTCTGGGCTGCTCAGACACTGTTCAGCTATGTGTAAGTCTCAGTGTTTTAGGGACTGCCTGTTTTATCAGGTAGTCGTGTCTGTCAGGGGTAAGTGTATTTGATGCTTTAGAATAAGGAAGTACATACAGAAGCTGTCACATACAGCTTCTGTTGGTGCAGTGCTTCCCTTCTCTTGCAGTACATTTGGATCTGTATTCTGTTCTGTTCAGCCAATTATGGGCTCATTATATGGGATTCTAAAGCCATTTCCTAACCCTTCCTAGCCCTTCAGCGTTGTCTTACAGGCTTTTTTGTTGGAAAAGGTGTTCCTGAATACCTCTTCTGGTGAGCTTAAATTAAGACTTTTCACTGTTTTTGACATAGAAAGAAGTCTCTGGTGCATTATATTCATTGCAAACACTTTGCATGAGACTGTGTGAGGATGATCCTCATGAACCCTGACAAAGGCAATGTTGGTTTTCTAGTCTGCAATTTTGCCTGTTTCCAGTTTTGCCTGAATTGCTGAAAAGCTTACCTGTTGCAGAAGGAAAGTTATCAGAATTAATAAAATACCTCAATAATTAACAGCAGGAACCATTTTATTAGAGCATTTTTTTCTCTTTGTTTTTTCCAGAGAAGATTTTTTTTCAAGATTTTTTCTCCATCTGACCACATCCTCAGTTGTTCTCATCTAAATGTATATCCCCAATAACATAGAATTTCTGCAGAACATTAATAGCTTGATTTATTAACTTGAATCATATTCAACCTTGCACCATCTTACTAACTCCTCTTCTTTTGCAAGAAAGAATTTAATCTTGCTGCTTGCCACTAAAAAATCTTTTTGGGGGAAAAAAAGGATTTTTTTTTTTCAGCTTACTGCCAGCTTTTCTAACCCTCACATTCAAAGCTGATAGCTGTTTTAGCTGTCTAGCAACTATCATTTCAGACTAGCACCATTTTTTTCCAACTTGATGTTTTCTGGCTCTCTCCATCCTTCAGGGAAGGACTCTCGTCTCCTGGTCTTCAGACTGAGTGCAATCCAAAAGGATATAGAAACAAAGCAGATGATAAGAAGCAAATATGACTGTAGAGAAAATAAACTGGAAAGAACAAAAGGTGATTTTTAAAATTATTATTATTCATTAAAAATGTCTACTAAGGTATTGTGGCAGTAGTTGACAAAGGTTTTATCAGTTCTCTTAAAGCTGTTTAATTTTATTCCAGATAGTCAATTCAAACTTTGTTAAGCTTCTATGTGAAAATAAGTTTGGATATAGTCCAGCGTGTTATTTAAGTACTTCATAAAAATACCAAGTTTCTTGGCAATTCATGCTAAAGAAAAGCTCCAGAGAAAAAAATAGATATATTGCTTTCAGAACTGAGAGATAAAAGAAGAATTATGCAGGAATGCAAGAGTAAACTAAAGGATCACTGTAAGTTGAGGAGCAGTGGCAATTTTTTATTAATAATACTGCTTAGGAAAGTTTGGATGTTGCACATTATTTTAGTTGATGTAAGCATTTTCTGATCAGCATTAAGGTTCTTTGGAAGACTGGAATGCACAGAATAGTAAAAATCCATATATTTAGTATTTTACTTGAAAATATTGAGGTAAGGAGGGAAATTAATGAGATTTCAAAAAAGTCATAGCTTTTTGTGTTTTTTTTTTTTTTTTTTTTTTTTTGAGAAAATAATGTTAGATAATGGGTTGGGGGGTGCAATTCTGTAATACTAAACTATCTTAGTCATGGATCAGAGCTGTATTGTACTAACTGCTGGACAAATAGTAAACAAAAAAGCAGGCCTTTAACTAGTTAATCCAGAGCATTATTTCCTCAGGCTGCCACTTGTATGCCATTAATACTCACCATGGCAGTGGACTGAGGATTGTTGTGGCTATTCGGAACAAACTGCTACTTGTCACAAAGAAATATAGTCTATGCAACAGTTTAACCAGCAGCTCTCAGCTGTCATCGTCTGACTCTCCAGTAGATGAATTCCAGTACATCCGGGTATGTGTAATCAATTCACTTAATTACTTTTAGAGACTAGRGAGCACTCGATTAGTAGGGGGGAAGGCAAGGTCATATATTTTGTCTTCCTGAACCTCTGAATAGATTTAAGGCAGAAGCTGTATTATGAGGTTCCATTATATGTGTTCCAATGAAACCTTCCAGATTTTTTTTTAAACTTTCTACCTATTACTTGTCAAGTTTCTGTGTTTACAGCACATGACTTAGAATCATAGAATCATAGAATGCCRAAGGTTGGAAGGGACCTCAGAGGTCATCGAGTCCAACCCCCCTGCTCACGCAGGGTCACCTAGAGCACGTGGCACAGGGCTGCATCCAAGCGGGTTTTAAAGATCTCCAAAGAAGGAGACTCCACAACCTCTCTGGGCAGCCTGTTCCAGTGCTTTGTCACCCTCACAGTGAAGAAATGCTTCCTTAAGTTYCTGTGGAACTTCCGATGCTTCAGTTTGAAGCCATTTCCTCTAGTCCTATCCCTGCCCACCACTGAAAAGAGGCCACCCCCCTCCTCCTCACTGCCTCCCTTGAGGTATTTATACAYGCTGATCAGGCCCCCCCTCAGCCTCCTCTTCTCCAGGCTGAACAGACCCAGCTCTCTCAGCCTTTGCTCATAGGGCAGATGTGCCAGGCCCCTGATCATCCTGGTAGCCCTGCGCTGGACTCTCTCCAGCAGCTCCACATCCCTCTTGTACTGGGGAGCCCAGAACTGGACGCAGTACTCCAGATGTGGCCTCACCAGGGCTGAGTAGAGGGGGATGATCACTTCCCTCGACCTGCTGGAGACTTGAAATTCATCTCTAATACTCTTAATAAGAACTTACTTAAAACTTAAACTTAGTAAGAACTTAAAGAGAATAATTTGAATATTTATATTACAGGAAATATGCCTTTCTGATCCTCCAGTGGTTATGACACTGATTGATGGACCTACTGGAGACAGTGACAATATGATCTGTGTAGCGTATCGGCATCAATTTGATTTAATTAATGAAAGTACGGGGGAGTCCTGTAGATTGCATCATGTTGAAGCAAGCAAGGTAAGGTCTCAGCACTGCAACTAGTTTCTCAGAGCTATGCTGAGCATATTTTCTTGCAGATTTAGTGCATCCCATAACGGCCTCCTGAAAGTATAATTTAGGGAGCTCCTAATGTCTCTTTTCACTTCTATAACCTCTGCTTTAGGGGACTTTGAGATTTTTCCTTTTAGGATGCATAATACTAATCATTCCCAGTGTAAATATAAGGTTTAATGCATTAGCAAAGAACATACTCAGGAATATTGCTGTGGGCAGAAACGCAAATCCTTCTTTCTCCTGTCTTAGTCAGTAGTTTACTTTTTGCTTTTTCTTTGTAGTTTTAGTATTTTATTAAGAAATTGCAGCAAAAGAAACTCAGCTGTTCACCACTAGTGTCTCATTCAGCTTTGCATATTTGTGTGAACTGAGGTAAAATAAGAAATACTGTGATCTGGGAAGTGCATGACTAATCTGATCTTACGTATTTAATGGTTTGATGTGCTCCAATCTATACTACATTAACGAAAGGTAGTGCAGAATTTGATGTACCCTTATATGCAGAGAAGTTTTCATCATATATATATATATATATATATTTAAAATTATGTTCTTCAATAAAATCACCTTTTCTGAAAGGATACCCTACTCTCTATGGGTATTCTGATTTTCTTAATTTAACTGTAAAAGAGAAATGCAGGGCTAAAGTATGAGAGATTATGATATGCAAAAAACACTGTAGTTTATTCCGTGTCAGTTCTAAGCTTCTAAATTCAACCTACTCAGTAATTCTTGAAGTATATCCATATTGATCTCTTTAAGTGTTTGTGGTTTTGATCCCATAATTGATGTTTCTGGTCATTCTGCTATGTGTGATATGCTGTGGAATTTCTTTTGTTTTTTGCTTTTTTAAAAGCTTTCTTATTAGAACTGATATTTCTGGCATAGCATATAGATTCACCCCTGTCCTGAAATCACCCCATTTACCAACATTCTCTTTGACAAATAACTTACATAAGTTTTTATTACTTTATAAATATAGTCAACAGTGAATACAAAAGTGATTTGCTGTGTACACCCACCACCTGATAGCATTACTTTTTAGTCAAAACCTGTTTGCAGTATCTTCAGTATCTGGTCTGTCTCTCCATTACCCTTACCCATTATCATTGCAGGTTAATTTTGTTGCAGCTATTGATGTATATGAAGATGGTGAAGCTGGGCTGCTCTTATGTTACAACTGTAAGTACTTAGAAAGAACTTGAAATGGTGAGGTCTCAATTGGTATAGATACTTCTTCTTTTTCCGTGGAGTCTATGTACATATTTTAAAATAGGTTTCAGTGTTTTGTTAAAAGATTTTCAACATATATTCTTTTCAATCTAAATGCATTTTACAAGAACTAAAAATGGAAGTATTATTTTATTGCAACCTGTGCTAAATTTAGAAATACAAGCTGTGCAGCTTTTATTTCAATTATACAGATGCATGTAAAGTCTTTGTAGAAGTTACCACTTCATTCAGAAAAGTCTATTCCTCTCTATTTCAGTCTTAAGATGAGTGAGATAGACATGCTTACTACGTTTTTCCAAGAAATGTACAGCCATTGTTTCTTTGCTTGTGTGTGTGTGTGTGTGGTTTTTGGTTTGGGGGTGTGCTCGTTTGTGGGTTTTTTTTTTTCTCTCCACCCCTTTTCTCTGTGGTGTCACATTCTTTGTGCTGTCCCTTTCTCTCATCCTCCTTTTGCAAGAAGGTTTGGATACTACATACATATACTTCTTCCTGCAGTGTATATGTGTGAGTATCATTATAGACCACAGAGCTCCAGGTTCTTCTCTGCCAAACGTTCTCAAATTCATTGGGCCCTAACCTACACTGATGTAAGGAGTTGTTCCTCCTCAGGTGCAGGACTTTCAATTTCCTTTTGTTGAACTTTATGAGGTTTCTCTCTGCACCTTTTTTCAGTCTGTCAAGGTTCCTCCGAATGATCTGGTATATTTTGGTCTTTAAACTGTTGAATTCACAAGGGAAGCATGTTTTTTCTATTACCTACGTGTAACAGATACTCTATAAAAATATTTGATTGTATGTATTCCCATACAACCCATTCTCCTGCAAAATTTGCCTGTAATGCCAGTGTTTGTCATTTGTAAGGGTTTTTTTTTTTCTTAATAGATGTTTGCCAGTATAGGAAGGTGTATCCCCTTAATGGAGGTTCTCCATTGATCCAACAATCGGCTTCTGACTTCCACTTTAGTTGGAACCAAGTTCCTTATGCTGTGGGTAAGAAAGTATTTTTTTACTGGATGGCTCTTTTTTCATTATATTTGCACTTAGCTATTAGAGGAGGCTTTTTTTTTTTTTTTTTTTTNTCATTGCAGTTTGTGCTTTCCCTTATATTCTTGCCTTCACTATTGATTCCATCGAGATTCGGTTAGTGGTGAATGGGAACTTAGTCCACACAGCAGTTGTACCTGAACTTCAACTTGTATCATCAAGGGTAAGACACAAGAAGAGCAAGTTTCTTAAGATGTTGGAATCTAATTTACAAAAAAAAAGTTGATGCAATGGAAAAAAGAATCAAAACAAAACTGAAATATGTGTTACTTGTTGTGTGGTAACTACTGACACGTGTGCCCTTATTCTGTATCAAGTATAAAGAGAATCGGAATTCATCTCTCTCTGTCTTGTTGCTCCCAGTAATTTAGATTTCAGGTATCTGTTTAAGGGGTAAATACTGTTTTCCACATGACAGAAGGATTCAGTTACATTGGGTAATCTTTGTGTCACTAACCATGGCTGACTTGGCAGCAGTACTGAAACAATGACTAGAAAAGAATGGGTAATAATTGAAGCTTTATTCAATAGATGATTTAGAAAGTCTACTGTACTAATTGTGAGCTCTTTGTTCTTTCAGTCAGACATTTATTTTAAAGCTACTACTGCAGTAAGTGGATCATCTAGTAGCAGTTCCAGGGAAATGAGTTCAAGAAGTTCTCCTCAAACACCAATAACATATGAAATGTCAGAATGTCCTCTTTCTTCTTTAGAAGGTAACATGGTTTCCAGGAAGCTTGGATGATGGTCTTGGGTCATTCCAAAAATTGCCATGTCTTAATGCAGCACATCTTAAGTAAACCAAGTAAAAGATAAGTTCACATCTGAGTCCAGAAGATAGTCATTGTGTATTTATTCACAGATCTGAAGCACCTGGCTGAACTTTTCCCTCACACTATATCCTCTGAATGCATGACAGCACTGCCTTGAAGAAATGAATTGGATTTCAGTAGTTTGATCAATCTTTGGCAGTATAGACAAGACTAAGAATGAAAAGATACAATGTTGTGGGAAAACTTGGAAAGTCACATACACTGTTCACTTCATTTAAGACCAGCTTAGCTATCACTGGATGGTAGTTTACGAACTACTACTTTTGCAACCAGAAAAGTAAGAAGTTGTTCTAGATGAAATGAGCTTTCACAGTCAATATGAAGTAACATTACCTGTGACTAATCAATCAATTGGGCAATGATAATGGAGAAGCAATGAACATCAATTAGAATAATGCAGGGTGTATATATATCTTGCTCAATGATCTACTGCTACACTCTTTGGATGAGTGGAAGGAATATTAATATTAATTTTTAAAAGGCAGCAATATTTGAGGGTAAATTACTTTTTCTAGAAATTAGAAACTAGTCTAATTAGTCAAACTCAGCTATGTCGCTTAAGAAGAGGAGCCATATTTCAGTCAATTAAGATCCTGGTTCCAGTATTCCAGCATATTAAAATGTGGGAGATCTTGTACAGAGTGCAAAGTCATGGTCTTATAGTCCTGAGGCTGGTAGGGTGACATGGGAATTCACTTGGCATTTCCACTGCCAGTTCACCATGTCACTAGGAGTCAGCCTTTTTCTCTCTAAGCCAAAATGCCAGACTGCAAAATTTGATTGTATTTTTCCTTCTTCATAGCCTGTTTGTGTTTAAAGATCTTTGGGGCAAGAAAGGTCTTGCCCTAAAAGATTATTTAGATTCGGAATCATCCGAATCATAGCCAAGCCTGTATAACTTTTCATTTGTCAACATCAAGAACAGTTGCTATTGTGGAAGTGTAACATACTTTTTTCTTCTATGTTACAGGTGAAGTTCCATGCAAAAACCTGTACAAAATTCCTCTCAGTAATCTGGTTGGGCGGAGCATAGAACGACCTCTGAAGTCACCTTTGGTTCCCAAGGTCGTCACTACTCCAATATGTAGTGGCATTGCTTCTGTTCCTGTTACTCACTCATTATCATTATCTCGTATGGAAATTAAAGAAATTGCAAGCAGAACACGTAAAGAATTGTTGGGTAAACTCCCTTCATCGTTTAGTGTACATGTCTACTACCAACTAGGATATTTTTAATCTTTGTACCACCACAGACAGATTTATGACACGCAGTTTTATTTGCGAGTAACTACTATGAACGACTACTATGAAACCGTGATAAGACTTTTCTTTTTCTTATTTGCAAATAGTCTAGCTAGTGTCTAGTCATATTTTAGGCCTGATACTCCTAGCCAGCTAGAAAGTATGTAGTTACTAATAGAAACCAAGGAGAGAGATCTTAATATTTTAATGAGTATTTCTGTTTTGAGAGTATGAATTCTTTTATTCCTTAATTGAGGTCTCCTGGATGAACCGATTTCCAAGACAGAAGGCCCAAAGCAACAAAAAAAGCTTCCTCAAAGACAGTCAGACCTCAAGCAGGGAGCAGTACGATCAACTAGTAGTGACAGGTAAATAGATTAGCTTGAAAAAAAGAACTTACGTTAGACTGTTAATGTCTTCAGAATTGCAGGCTATTCTTCTCACTGTTCATACTCATCGCAATGGGCTAGGTGTTGATTAAGACCTCTGTGTATAAATATTAATTTCATACTAATGTATTTGTTTCAGTATTTGAATATTAGTAGTATTGAAATGATTTCACTTTATGCTAACATCATGTTATGAGCCAAACAAGGTTAAACGGAATTTTGTTGGGGACCTACTGCAGAGTCCRTCTTTAGGATCTGCGTTACTAGATCTGCACTATGAATACTCTCTTGTTTTGTTCACGTGGTCTTAACTTTCCAAAATAAATATTGTAAAGAAACAGCATTAGATTAGTCTATATGGCTCTGCTTACCTGCCCCTCTTACCATTCTGCTGCTTTTACTGTTCACAAACTACACTTGTGAAGTGTAGAGACAGAATCTAGTCAGGATAAAATAGAGATGTGTTTTCTTGAAAATTTAAACCTATATTCGATTGTGGGCTTTTTTTTTTTTTTTTTTTTTTGAATTAAAAACTTTAATAATAGCTTTTTGGAATATTCAGATCTTTGTAAAGTTCGCTTTAATTGTTTTGTGCTTATGTAGTGGCAATATGAATGGTTATTGAAGAAAAGGTGAACAGAGAGAAACTCAGTTTTGATGGTATTCTGTTTAGTACAGCTTGATTGAATCCAGAATTAGTCATTTATTCTACTTGCTCTGATCTGTGTACTTTTTTTAGTGACCTTTATCTTCCCTTTCAGGCTACTTTCAAGCTCTTTGGAAGGCAATTCTGAAAAGTGTCATCTTTCCACTAGTTCAGAGACTGATACACTAGCAAACACCGAGGAGAGCCCACTGTCCAGCTCTCCTTTTCAGTTGACTTCTCTATATGATGAAGACATCATTGACTTGAAGTGAGGACAGTCTTAAAAGCTGTCTTATTTCCTTTTCTTAAAACTGTGAGCTCTGTAAGAATGTCACTAACACTGCTTCTAGTGATAAATGTGGATGGGAGGTATTGGTGATTAATCTTTATAAAACCCATGTTGTTCTGACTAGCTCAACCTGACTTGGTGATGCTTACATTCTTGACATACAGATGTGTTCCTTTCTCAGTTAACGAGCCATTACTTGTTGTGTCATTTAAAAGGTAGGTAATCAGTGACAGCTTTATGCTGAACTGAATAAAACTGAATAAAAAGTAAACTTTCTTCTGAACCTCTTATCTTTGAAGTACCTGAATGAAAGTAACCCGTAGCTAAATTAACTGATTACTGTTATTGCTATTATGAGTTTTACAGCAGTGTGTCTTGTGGAAAGAACTTGGTAACGTAAATGACACCTTTTGTATTTTAATCAAAAAAAAAAAAAAAAGAATTTCAAGCTGTACCTTGAAATGGTGCAACTGTGTTCACTGAAGAATCAAGGATATTCTGTAAAGATCAGGTAAGATATGAACATGCTGCTTTCTTTGTTCTAACCTATCCATTTACATATTTAAAAGAAACCTGAAAACTGTTTTGCATAAAGAACCCCTGAGCAGAGACTTTTTGTATAAAATACAAGCTTTTGAAATATTCCTTAAAAACGTGAAAATCAAAAAAAAATTTTGCTTCTCTAACTTCAGAGATGCTACTGTGGTATTACACATACAAATTTTCCATTATAGGCAGAAGCCAATGCTTGATTTGCTTTTTGACTACACAAGGATGCCTGTGCAGGCATCAGAAATTACCTGTTGTCTGCTCTTGCATTAACAGTGTAAGTCTCTGCTCCATATAACTGTATTTTTCTAAGTGGTTCCAGAATGAAGTTTCACTGATGAGCAGCTAGTTTTCTATTAGGAAATAGTCATATTAGGTCATTTTGTTATGTTAAAGAACAGGATTTCATCTTTAAAGATTTTTTAAAATCCTTTCTTCTATGCCAAGAATCAATTTTAAACAAAGGTTGAAAAGGTTTGCTTTTTTTTTTCATTAGAATGTGACACAGGCTTTTTATATATGGAAATTTTAGCTTTAGTAGCAAGTTTTTGTGTTCTATACCTAGAAATACTTCTGCTTTCTTGATTTATTTTTGTAGTGGCATTTATGTATTGTGATTTCACGTTCTGTCCAAATATTAATAGCTGGAGGTTTGTGCCTTTTTTTCATGTCAGTCTGTCTGAATGTAAAACTTTTGCCAAAGTACTCGGAGCCCTATTTATTATATATAATGGCTTAATTGTTCCACCTAAGAAAATATGCAAGGCCTTAATTGAAGGGATTACTTCTTATTCTCAGCTACAGTGGCCAATCAAAGAAAGAAGCAATATTTTCAAACAATAATTAATTCAGGAGCAGTTAACCAGTYGCTACTATTACTTGAAAACTTTTGAAAAGAAATGCTAGCTTGAAGTCTTTGCAAGATGTAATTTTTTTTTTCTTTTTGCAGGGAGGGGGGAAATGTCATTTCCAAAGAATGTATTAATCTACCCTGTCCTATTTATCTGGTCAGCTAAGGCTGAAAAAAAAAACAGTCTGGAAGTATCATATGTGATGCTTATTTTTGCTGGAAACTGTTAACACTTCTGTGAACTCATTGAATTCACTTTAGGGGGCACTCGCCACACTAAGATAGGTTTAGAAAGCAAAATTATCAACTGCTCTTTCTATAAAATGATTTCTTGATGTAGTATTTTGCTTCTGTTTTGTCTGTTTTTTGTTTTTGTGGTGATTTGTTTTTTTGAAGATTACCAATGTGTTGTAACTCAGGTTTTACCGCAAACTTTGCTTTTCATTCTCAGAATATCAGTTTTTAAATAAATTGCAGTTGTTCACTCCTGCTATTCTAACATAACGTATCTACGTTAACATTTTTGATAGTGGCTGAAACTTTGCAGGGAGTTTTTAAAAGCTATTTTGAAGAACTTCAGCAAATACATACGCTGAAAGGTATAGAAAGGCCTCAGAGATGAAGCACTAGAGAGACCAAGAAGAATGGAGAAAGCCTGGCAGATGACATCCCCTGGAAATAGTGGTACTTAGGATGCGTATAGCTGTGACATTTGCATGATAGCCAAGACATGATTATAGTCAAGGGCTCTGGGAAGGCAAGTTATTTTCTTTGAACAGAATCACAGCACTGGCAATAAAGTGTTGCCCACGGTTTAAGTAGTAGTTTCTGCAGTATACACACACAAACTCATGCACAGGCACACAGTCTATATGCATTTGTATTTATGTCTGCTGGTAATAGCATCACTGATGATACCCAAGAAATACTAACAAGCAGTAAAAGAACTGAAAGCATTACTGGTAAAATTTGAAGACTGAAGTCGTTAGGGTTTGCTTTTTTTTTCCATAACATGAATTTTAAGCTGTAGCTTGACTTAATGGCTCACATGCAAACTGTTAGCAAGTCACATTGCTACCTTCTGTACCTAAAAGGCAATAACTTTGAATAACTTTAATAGGACAGAGAGGATGTAAATACTGAAGGAAAAAAAAAGAAGAAAAACAAAAAACCCTGTCTTTATTCCAAATGTTTGCAGTAAGTGCCTTAAGACTGTAATCTCTTGAGTTTTTGCTTCTGTAATTAATCAGTATGTCTTGCAGGCATGTAGGGATAATATCAGACCTATGTAAAGGAATCAAGGGGGATCAAGTGACATTAATTTGGCTGTTTTGACTCTCAGAGATGGTAGCTGAGGCCTCAGGTTGCAGTGTACATGTAGCTACTCTATACTTCAGACTGCTCTCCTACAGGAAGTACAAGGTAGAGAGCATAGTAGGATGTTTCAGTTTTGTTGTGACACAAGCCACAAGAACCAAATTCCATGAGGCACTGTATCACATATATCTAAAACTATATCTATTAGATATCTATTAAAATATATCTATGTCCTTTTGTATGAGGAAAGACTGAGTTGGGCCTGGTTAGCCTGGAGAAGAGATAGCTGAGATGGGATCTGATTAATATGTATAAATACCTGAAGGGTGAATGTAGGAAGGAAGGGGCAAAACTCATCTCAGTGGTGGCCAGTGATAGGACAAGGGGCAATGGGTGTGAGTTGAAATGCAGGAAGTTCCATCTGCACATGAGGAAGAACTTCTTTGCTGTGAGGGTGACAGAGCCCTGGAACAGCACGCAAGCAAGAGCCAGAATAAGTCGTGTGCCTGCACATGACCATATATACATACAAGCCACATGACACATATTTCTCATATATAATAAATATTTGTTATTGACTGGTAGATTCAATTGAAATATTGAGTACACGGCCAGTCAGTTGTGTCCTAACAAGTTACATATGCTCAAAGTTGCTGCTCCTGTCTTTAATTTCTGCTGATATGCCAATACAGCTATTTAGGACAAGCCACTTTGATGCTAATGCAAGTTGTCTTAAAGGTGTGCATTTATAATGTGTTTTTTGCAGCTTTCCCAGCCAGATTTTTTTTTTTTTATGTGTGTGTATATATATATTTTTTGGGGGGTGTGTGTGTATTTGGGAAGCATTTCTTTTATCTTTGTGCTGTCTTTCACAACTTTCACAAGTACTCAGCATATGTAAGAAGCTAACATAACTTGATCTTACACCAAATAGCATCTCATTTGCAAGTGAAAAGGTGATTTGGTATCATGTTTTGTTGCTGCCTATGTATGAAGCTATGTATGGTATACTGTATAAACACTGTTAACAGTTTAGTTTCACAGTTCATATGCTCAGTGCCTGACAATTATGTTAAAGCAGTATTTTCTAATAACCTACGTAATTTTTGCAAGGGAATTATCTATACCTTGAGAACTAGACACTGTAAGGATACAGGGAATGTTCCATGACTGTCTGCAGCAAACATCTGTCCTAACAGGCACGATAGAAAGTATTTTTTTATTGTTAACATACAGGAGAGGACAATAACTTAATCCAGGCTATACAACACCTAGCTGCTTCACTTTGTTGCTGACCTGCAACTGACTCTTGTTGTTGCATAAAATTATATTAGCACATGATTCAAAGAGATAAAAAAAATCAAAAGGTTTTTTTTTTTTTTTTTTGTATATTTATCTGGCTCAATGTAAATGTTATGTCTCTAAAGGTTTATACAGAAAGTGTTATCAACTCAATGTCAGTTTTAACAAAAAATCTTTGAATGTTAGCAGATTGCTTTGTACTTGAATAATTGCATATTGTTAAGACTGTTGCTACATTTCCGTGATGAAAACCTGTTTATCACCACTTGTCTTAAAATTTGATGTATTGGCATTATTTTTAATGTCATGTGATAAGATGTATGCTTAGTGGTTTAGAGGTAGCATCCAAATAGGAATGTTTCTATCATAGTTAGAACTGGTGCAATTGCACCATTGCTTTTTCTGCAGCAGTAACAGACCCTATTTATTATTTCATCTATAATAAAATAAGCCTGAGATCACTTCTTTTGTACTTGCAGCAATTCTATAAATTTGGTTTGTTAAATGGGGAGGGTACTATAGTATGGTACTACGGGGTTACTGTTTCCTCCATTTACGTTCTGTAGAGATTTTGCTTCAGATGTGATTTGCTTAGGCAAGTGCTATATCACACAAATGACACTAGCTTGTGAGGCTTGACCTTATGCATATGCAGGAGGTTGCAAAACCATATGCAACATCTCTAGAGTGTGGGCAAGCAATTCTACAGTGTTTTGTTTTTTTAAGACCTTCAGAAATGTGCTTTATCCCTTTGTCCCTTAAATTAACACTGTAAAAGATGCCTTTTTTTTTTTTCTTTTTTTTTTTGCAAATGATACATTATCTCCTTTTAAGAGTAGACATATGGTGGTTTGTTTGCTTTTGCTGCAATTTAGGTCCTGTATATACTTCTTTATATGAAGTGTACACTGATACAAACTTGTCTGAAGAAATTCAAATATTTATAGAGTAGCTGTTAGCAGGGTAGTGCAGCTGTCCTGGCAAAAGGCAGCTTTTTGAGCCTTATTCCTCAATCTTAAATCCCAGACATGCAAGCAAGTACATATGTAAAGGAAAAGCCATAGACAGCTGAAGTTAACATTAGCCAGGCTATGTCCTTAGTTTCTTTGCTGTAGCATGTCCTAAAAGGAAGTTAGCACAACATATATATTTTGGAGCAAAGCAATTATGTTTTATAAATATAGTTCTTTAGATCTTATTTACATAGTAAAAAGAAAAAAAAAAAAAAAACACTGGAAAAAAAGTATTTTACAATCGTATTTGATCATTATAGTCATTTTGGAATAGGTGAAAGGAACACAATAACTGAAGGAAAATAATACATCTAAGACCTGTACATGGGGGAAAAAAAAATGACGAATACACAGAAAGGCTAAAGCAGGTGCAGATTCCCTTTATTTTTTGTCATTAAAAAATTATTTCTCAATCAAATTGCATCACTAAGTCATCTGCCAACTGCTGCAGCTAGTGTAACAATACTGCCATAATTTATGATATGAAAGTTTCATATCAATTTAAGAGCTTCAGKTTTAAGACCTTCTGAAGTAGGCTTCAATTTGTTCCAGGGTCCGTCCTTTTGTTTCAGGAACATAAAAGGCTGTGAAAATTACACTCATGCAACAGAAAGCAGAGAAGAGCCAGAATGTGCCATAGGCTGTTATTAAAGTCTAGAGGAGGGAAGAGAGGGGAAAAATAAATATTATAATCAGTAGTGCAGTCTGCAGTTCTGTATTGCTAGAGAAGACTGTGGTCCAAGGTTCTCTCAGGAGCATCTTTAATATCTCTCCCTGAATAGGAACCCCTGAGGGTGGTTTATGATACTTACTATAAGGTCATGAAATTCCTTGGTTACAAAGAAGGCCATAACCCAGTTTGTTAACACACAAGCACCACTGGAAACGCCTTTGGCTTTAAGCGGAAAAATTTCAGACATCACCAGCCATGGAATTGGACCCCAGCCCAGGGCAAAACCTACAATTACAGACAAAAGAGAATAAATGCCAGTTAAGTATTACAAAGCAAAGACTGAATGACACCCATGTTAGTCAAGTAAAGCGTATGTTTTTTCACCATAATTCTAGGCGCCCCATGTATCTATAGGAGGTTATTTAAAGGCAGCACTGTAAATGCTGATGCACTTCATATCAGATTATTTATAAAGGTGTTCTTAAGCCAAACTTCTTGCTAAGAAGTCTCTAAAGTCATAGACTTAAAAATTAATCTCGTGTCTATCTGCAGCTGCCTTATACTATCTCAGAGCTCAGCATGGCACAGATGCTTCCATAGACTGATTAATATCTGTAAAGCAATTCAATCTGAGCACAAGGAGGTATAAATTGACTTCCTAGGACACTAGCTTGACTGCTTAATCTCTAGCTCTACCACCAAGCTTTTAAAGGTCAGCACAACTTCACAATATACGCTACAAAGCTCTGATGAAGACAAAACTCACCTCTAACGTGACAAACTTTTACTTTGACCAGAAAGTCTGTTTTGTGCCATCTCTACTTATAAGCATCTCCCACTTACCAGCAACAAAGAGCCCTAGGCTCACTACAGCAAGCCAGGGTAGGCTGCTTTCTGTTCCTGGGGTGAAGAGTAGGTCAGGATGTGATGAGTTGCTTGGTGTTGGAAGGACCATTTTAAAGTAAAGCCCAAACAGTGCAGTACTGAGAGCCATGATGAACCCTGAAAAAGCATACGATAACCAAGTTGTCATTGACTGCCTGTTGGGTAACCTTTAGAGAGAGAGAGAGAGAATACAGTTGAGCAAACAAAGACAAGGTTTGCTGGCCCTGGCAAAATGTTTCTTACATTCATGACAATTTTTCTCAGGAACAAACACTGGCTTAATCACTGGTCTTGATAAAACTGAAAGCTCCCAGAATATGATTATTCCAAACAATGTCACACACAATATAGTCTTGACAACAGTCATTACTACTGAACAGACTACGCATCACAACTGTATCAATTCATTTTCTCTAGCAAGTTTACCTGCTAAGTTAAAAAAATATATTCTGTTACTACAGAGCACAATGTTCCATGAAAGTAGCAGCAGATACGGATTAACGAAGATTATTATGACAATAAGTCTTTACTAAATGCAAAGATAATCACAGTAATAAGAATTAACACGGCTACTTCAAAGTAAAAACTAGTTCCAAGAGGTCTCCCCTACAATGTGTATATAAATCTCCTAACTATTCAAAATGTTCTTACTCTAAGCAGGACAATCTCCTTCCTCTTTTTAATCTCAGTTTCAGTCTGTAGTTACTTCAGAGCAAATGCCTAAGTTTTAATACTTTTTCATCTCAAGATTTATGTATAGTAACTTTTTGTTACTATACGCAAAATGATATTTCTTTTGTACAAAATTCAGTAGCACCAGAAATGAAGCCGAGACACCTTTGCAGACCTGACATACTAACACTTAATCCAAACTTAGGAAGTGTTTTGGGCAAGCTACTTGTTTCCAGACTCCCTAGAAAAAAATATCATGAAAAAGCTTAAATTATTAGTACACAAAAGTATATTTACTTTCAGTTTAGTTAAGACGAACAGGTATTGGTAAGGCCCAAAAATATGCAAGAAAACATGGTATTTATATGTGGACTCTTAAAATATGAAGTGCATCCATTTGACCATTTATGCTGATTAAAACTCTCATTTTGTGTAGCCCTTAAGATAGGATTATGCTTTACCAGATATGTAAAGCAGTACTTTTCGTCCAGTTTTATCTATGACAAGTGCAGCCACCGCAGTGAAACATACTTGTATGGAACCCACAATAACGGAAGCCATTCTGCCGTCCTGAAATAAGAGGTAGGGAAAAGGTTCAGACTGATAAGAGGATCACCTACTGGCCATTATACATACATTGATTTATTGAATCTGAGACAAACTATGCCACAGAACCCAAAGGGGAGGGAGGAGAGATACCAAAACAAAACTAAAACAACCAAAGAAAAAAAAAAATGCCAACAACAAGATACTATTAGAACCTGCCGAGGTGCAAATGCATTCAAATTACCTTGAAACATGCATCTTCAAAGATAGTTTCTGCATAAAACATAACTGCATTAATGCCTGTTACTTGCTGGAAGAACATCAGTACCACACCAATAAGAAGTGGTCTGTAGATTGGGGGATTCTTGAACTCTAAGATACTGAATCCCTGTTAAAAGATTAAGCAATAATTCAGTGAAAAACTCAATCCTTTAACTGAAAGAAAACATCCTCAGAAGATACCAGTCTGTTCAAAAGTATTTTAAGTTTCTTTATAGGCTGAATGTCTCCTCAAAATGCCTTGGTAATAAGATACAAGTTTGCAGATATTAGTAAGATATAGTAAGTGTATATTTGAAATACCTGAAGACTTTTTAAAAATAAATTTTCTTCCTTATCTCAAGTTCTGACCCACAGTACTGCCAGACTATATGGAAGTATATAAAAAAAATTGTGAATTCAAAATTCCATGGATAAGAAATTAGATTTCTCTCACTTCTCTGGCACTTTATCCATATTCAAAGGAATAAATCTTTGTAGAAAAAAACTAATGTGAATGGTTTACATATTAGACATGCCTACTTAAGGAGGCTGTTAAATAATATCTCACTACAAAGGACTAAAATATACTACTACAGAGATGCAAAGGGAAATATAACTGTACAACACACACACAGAGGAAATAATGGGTTAGGTGTTGAATAGCTTCAACTATCTATAAAATTGTTAAATATGGTAGAAAAACTAGATGGCTGTCACAGGTAATTAACATCATAAGCCTGACTGCTACTGATGTGTACCTATGGCAGCCAGAAGTGAGAGGAGCAGAGATGAAGATTCTTGCAATCTTATTTGCTTCTTAAATACATTTTGGCTGAGGAAGGGTGTTTGAATAACCACTGTAGAGGAGGCTATTAAACTAAGCTATGGTAAAACCCTTAACTGCAACTTCTATATACTGTGTCCCTACATGTTTTTCTTACTGTAAATCAGATTCTCCTCACCTCCTCCTCAACATTATCTTCAATTTGTCTGCATTCCCATTCATGATCCACATGTGGTCCCCTCAGAAACTGCAAGGAAGCTATGGCTTCTGAACGCTTATTCTGATTCAGCAGAAATCTTGGTGTTTCGGGCATAAAGACCATGAACAAAAGCATTATACAGGATGGAAAACAACACAATACTGCCAGCCAGCGCCATTTTAGTGCTATTCCTAGACAACAAAAGGGAAAGAGAGAGAGGACTATAAGCATCTGATATACAAAGAAAGTAGTACATACACTAAGAAACTGAAAGTATCTCTTATTACATAAGCTCTTTGCTGCAACCTACAGCCCTAACTAAAATACCTGCAATGTAGGCTCCCAGTATGCCCGTCACCACCATCAGTTGAATGCAAGAGCCAAGCATACCACGAACTTTATGATGAGATACTTCAGAAATATACACCTAAAATACAGGGAGAAAATACCTAATAATTACTCCTCTCCAACTATGGATCAAGGACTTGAAAAATAATTTGTTTCTGAAAAAAATATGGCTGCATTTTCCAGTAACTTCCCTCCTCAAAAAAAGTCTTGATAAAGTGGAGTAAGTAGAAAAGTATCTTCCAGAAATTCATGTTGCCATTACGAAACATTCTGGAAAGCAAGGAAGTCCTGAAACACAAGAATGCTGATAATGTTTGGTAAACTGCAGTATCAGTATCCCAGAAATGAAAATAATCTTGCATTATTAAGGATTCTGTTGGCCATATTCACCAAGAAACACATGGTCACAAAGAAACCTGATGCTTGGAACAGTTTTTGCATAAACATATAGCCTGAGCTACAGATAAAATCCTTTTTCAAAGGAGGTTTTGAACTTTGAATTCAACACAAAGAGCACAAATTATTTTATCTTCCATGAAGGTCCAGACTGACTGACAGCTCTTGTCCTACCATATAGWAWAMAAAAAAAAAAAAAAAAAATCCAATTATAAAAAAAATACATCCAATATTTAGGAAAAGCTTAAAGTGCTTGGCTGTTTTTAGGTACTGACCTCAAGTGCACAGTCACAGTTTAGTTAAAAGCATAAAAGAAAAAAAAAAAAAAAATCTCTCACAGGCATACAATTCTTCCCAAAGTTGGAACTTTTCAGATGGAAAGCAAGCAACTCTTAGTTCAAAAATTCTTCTAAGGTACATAGTGATAGCATGCTCCCCGCCACCCATCACTGCAGTCATAAATCTTTTCCTGTTGGGTGCTAATTAAATCCTTTAGATAAGGGAACCAAAGCTCAGCTGCATGAATCAAAAAGAAAGCAGACGGACCTCCTGTACACATATGAACACATCAGACTAAAAAAAGGTATTTTCAACAATAAGCTATACATGATTATCAGTATAAACATTATAAAACTAAAAAAAAAAAAAAAAAAGAAAGAAAGAAAAAAAGAAATGCAGTGTTTCTTATTCTTTGACTTTTAGCATTCATACCACTTCAGGATCTGGAAATGCTGGACCACCAGAAAGGATTAAAAATGAAAGGTCACATCACTATGATGAATATGCCGTACAATAATGCCACTAGGGGACACAAAACTTAATTTTGTTTTTAATCAAGAAAAAAAATGAATAAGATAACAGTAGTCTACGTTTTTTAAAAAATCATCTCCTAAATCCATAAACTGTATTGACTAAAGTTGCCCAGTTACTTCATCCAAATCACTAAGAAATTACAAAAACAAACCAACTAACTAGCATCTCTTCCCCACCCCACCTTGAAAAACAAAACAAAACACACTAAGCAGAAATAATGCCTTACTTACTGGAACAACAAGTGAAGTAATTCCACTAGCTAAGCCGGTCAGTATTCTTCCAAAATAAAGCATCCAAATATTCCAAGCAGAAATAATAATTATATATCCAGAAACATATGGTATTGAGCACAGCATGAGACTCAGTTTTCTCCCAACTCGATCCACAAGATAGCCTCCCAGTATTCCTCCAGCAGCGGCTCCTAATGTTACTACAGACTTCAGAAAATAAGTGTGTATCAGACTCCAATTTCTTGAAAAATTTTGGTAAGTAAACAGCAGCTTCTACATAAAATATGCAAATACAAAGAGGTGTTTTGAAAAAAAATGAAGTTAACATTAACTTCTTCATCAAGATATAATTCAGAATTGCTCCTCACTACAGATAAACAGCAAATGATTTTAAGATTAAATACAAAAAAGCAAAACTTTTAAAAAGTTGTACGTCTTTTTTATATGTCTACAGTACCTTCTCTTCAAACAGCTATTCAAAATGTTTCAAAGCTCCAGAGAAGCTAACTACCATTTAAACTAAGCTGGAGTTCAACTTACATCCAAAATGCACATATTCCCATGTAGATAGGTTGCACCTAATTTATGAGAAAATTTATTCTCTGTGTTCCCCTAACAGTTACAGCTGATGAAGTTGCGAATTGTCAGCAGACATTTTAGCACCAAAGCAGTTCAGTGAATAAGGCCAACTTTTAGTATATGCTAAACGTCATCAGATTAACATCACTCAAAAATAAATAAATAAATAAATAAAACCAATCACCAAGTTTGGGTGAAAGCAGACAGTATTGGGTTTGTAACTAACATTTTTGCATCCTCCTAAAGATAAATATGTATCCAGTCCCTCCTTCCCGGCCCCCCATAGTATTTTCCAGACCTACACTTTCAACTGAAGTCGTGACAATACAGCCTATAGAGCCTTACCGCAAACCACGACGCTTGATTGCTGTCCAGTCTTAGGTGGGGATCGCTGATTTTGCTCAGCTCTGGAATAACAGGCGAGCTATAGCCTAGCACGAAGCCAAAGCTAAGAGGTCCCAGGACTGCAGCGAAGGTGGCGAGATAGAGCTTCGCGTTCTGCACTCTGAGGCGGAAGAGGCCGACAAGGACGACGCTGCCCCGCGTGCCGCCCCCGGCATGATGCACCCGTGCCACCCCGGGAGCTTCGCGCGGAGCCCAGCAGTGCCCGGGCAGGGCCCGCCCGAACTCGCCCGCCGTCCTCCGCTACCCACCGCCGCCGAGCTCCAGCGCAGCTCGCGCGACGCCAGCGCTCACCTCGAGTACGCGTCCGACGGGGGACGGCGCAGCAGCCTCCGCGACTCCTCTGCCGCCGCCATGGCCCGTCACGAGCCGGGCTGCGGCGGCGCTCCGCGCGGACGGAAGCAACTCTCGTGTGTTCGCGGAGAATGATGACGTGCAGGGCGAGCGCCGGAAGCTGCTGCGCTACTGCGGGGCCGCAGCTGGGGAGCGCAGTTCCTCCGGTGCCGGCCGGTTCAGCGCGGCCGCGCGCGGGCGAGTAGCGCTCTGCCCCCCGCACCGCAGCTGCCGCCGCTCGCGGGGCCGCGGCGAGGAGTACGGAAGTGGCGGGAGTCTGTCCTTCTGCTGTGGGGCCATGGCCGCGGGGGCGCCCCGGCCCCTGCCGGGCCCCGGGGAGCCGCGCGAGCCGCCTGCTCAGGGTCACGCCGCGGCCGGCCGCTACCTGAGGTGAGCGCAGCGGCCCAGCCCGCCCGGCGCGACCCGTGGGACTGGAACGAACGGGGGTGGCGCAGCCTACGTGCTGGCGGGCGGGGGCGCGCGGTCCCGGGAACGGCAGGTTACAGCCGCTGGCTTCCCCACTAACGCCCGTCCTCGAGTGCAGCAATTGCCTCAGAGCTTGCCGAGCTTATATTAATAGGGAAGCTGTTAGGATTTTTTTTGTTTGGTCCTAAGGGAATATAGGCCTGCTGGAACAACAAAAACGGCCTTGGTCAGGCGTGCTGAGGAAAGCTGGTAAGAGCTATTGGGAAAAGTTTCCGTACAAATGCACGATTGGACAGGAGTAGCTGTTCCTATGCACTTTATACCCTGTGTCGTTCAGCCATTCACAGTGAAAAATGAACTTTCATGTGTTATAAATTCATATTTTTAAGATGTGTATTTTAGAATCTTATTCTGTGAAGATAAAATGCATAGAAATAAACATGTTATTGACTCCCACTCACATTCTTCAAAGATTTGGGTGTAGGAGCTTCTATGTTTCCTCCTCCTTTACTCAACTCCGGTGAGGGCTGCACCTGGAGTACTGGGTGCAGTTCTGGGCTCCCCAGTACAAGAGGGACGTGGGGCTTCTCAAGAGGGTCCAACACAGTAACAAAGATGATTAAGGACAGACTGGAGCGTCTGTCGTATGAGAAAAGACTGATCAAGATGGGCGTGTTTAGTCTGGAGAGGGATCTGATCGATATGTATAAGTACCTGAAGGGTGAATGTAGGTACGAGGGGGCCAAACTCTTTTCAGCGGTGGCCAGTGACAGGACAAGGGACAATGGGGACAATTTGAAACAAGGGAAATTCCATCTCCATGTCAGGAAGAACTTCATCACCGTGAGGGTGACAGGGAACAGGCTGCCCAGTGAAGTTGTGGAGTCTCCTCTGGAGGTCTTCAAAACCTGGGATGCCACCCTGTGCCACATGCTCTGCATGTCCCTGCACGGACAGCAGGGGGTTGGACTAGATGGTCTCTAGAGGTCCCTTCCAACTTCAGCCATTCTGTGATTCTGTGAATTGAATTCAGCTAGTTGTCTAATGAATGGAATTAGCTTTTCCAGAGTCATGCATTATGTCTTTTTAACTCTTCACGTAACATTTATCTTGTTAATCCTTTATTAAAACTTACTGTAGGAACTTGAGATGTCACAAAGTAGTAAAATTGTATCTACCTCATGTAATTAAAGAGGTTGTTTTTGAGGTTTTCAATTTCACAGTTAATTCTGTTCACTGGAAATAAACCAGAAAGATAGGAAACAATTAAAAATAAATTAAAACTGACATTGCACCAGCACAATTTAAAATCTTTGCGATAGCCATATAGATGACTAACAAATACTTCATCGCATTCTTGAGAAATCCTCTTTAAACAAAAGTGCATTTACTTTGTATTTAAAAGAGTATGGGACAAAAATACAGAGTAAGTTCTGTCAGCAGTTAGCTTCTCATCACCTTATGTTTTCTTCTGTATCAATATAATCCAAGGGTATACTGTTTATTTGCCGTAAGTTTAAAACTTGAAACAATCTTGACCTTATTGGATTTAGAAATTGAAAGTGTTAACCTAGAACAAGAAAGATGTTCTATAGTGAACACTAGCATGCACTGACTCATTACAAATTACATCTAAGTCTAGTATGGGCCACCTGATGGTTTGAAGTATTTTCAAATGCTTAGTACTAACCTACTGAATATTTTAAGATATGTTTGGCCATTTCTGTCCAGGTATTAACATGCAGTTTGGAATATTGATTTAGCAGTAATTAAAGATGTGATGCTTGCCTTGTTTTCTGAACAGAACTAATACAGTATTTTGATGTATCACAGGTAAATTTTTCCATAACCTTATGGAGAAAAAGGACTTTGAAGCATGGCTTGATAACATTTCTATTACATTTCTTTCTCTGACGGACTTGCAGAAAAATGAAACTCTGGATCACCTGATTAGCTTGAGTGGAGCAGTCCAGCTCAGGCACCTCTCCAATAATCTAGAGATTCTCCTCAAGAGGGACTTCCTCAAACTGCTTCCGCTGGAACTTAGTTTTTATCTGTTAAAATGGCTCGATCCTCAGACCTTACTCACATGTTGCCTCGTCTCTAAGCAGTGGAATAAGGTTATAAGTGCCTGTACAGAGGTATGGCAAGCTGCATGTAAGAATTTAGGCTGGCAAATAGATGACTCTGTTCAGGATCCTCTACATTGGAAGAAGGTTTACCTAAAGGCTATATTAAGGATGAAGCAATTGAAGGACCATGAAGCCTTTGAGACATCCTCTTTGATTGGACACAGTGCCAGAGTATATGCACTTTACTATAAAGATGGACTTCTGTGTACAGGTAGGAACTTCAGAAAATGTAGAGCCTTGAATTTCCTAGTTTGTCTTTTTTTTTTTTTCCCCACATGTGATTACTGACCATTTGACTTTCCATATCAGTCAAGTTATTGTCATGGTGCTTACTCAGATTAAGGTATTCAAAATAACTTTTTGTTGTTGTTTTTGTTTTATTTGGTTTTGATTTTTGGAACACCTGGCACACTGGTAAGCTCACTGGTCACTTGAAGTAGTAGTAAGTGCTTTCTACTTTTTTTTAAAAAAAAGTTTGACAGTGCTGCATATAATGCTTCAGAATGGTAAATCCATTTGAGAAGTACAGATATGTTGGCTATCCTCTAAGAGGATACCTTATTCAGATTAAAGGGTCTATCTGTCTTTGCAGTGTGACAGTTTCTGTGATACAATCTCCAAGTTCTTTCAATTCTCAATGTAATGTAAATGCATATATGTAGACTTGTAAATTAGATCTAACCTTGTTACTAGTCTGAATTACACATTATGATGCTGAAATCAACTTCCTTCCTAAAGACTTCAGACTTCAAGATTACAGTTTGACCTTTGAAAGAAAGCCAGACCAAACATGAAACCTTAAGTAAGAAAGAATAGTAACAAAGTTACAGTGAACTCCTTCCAGAGCATATTCCAAAGAATTCCTAACTATGCCACTTGAGACAGCAGTGCTGTAGATAAGCTGTGAGTACTGGCTAATACTCCCACATTTGTTGTTACGTTCCGAAGGTTATGAGAAACCAGGAACTAGCCTTCAGCCAGTCTTTTGCTTCCCTAGGCACTAGGGAATTAAAACACTGAAGAGGTGGCATTGTCAAATCTTACAGAAGAACAGCTTGCTCTTTTACTATGAAAGYGCCTTGTGGAGAAAACAGGTGAAGGTGTCCCGAGTTTATTCTGCTCTGCTAAGCAAGCAGACTGAGTTAGGGTTATGCATTTCAAAGCAAAACAAAACAAAACATACTCTGTGGGAGAAACACAGACAGCGGAGTGAAGGAGCCTGATATTCACTTGCTGTCTTTCTTTCTCTGTAAGCAGATTTGGAGAAATTCCTTTCCTATCTGAAGTAAACAAAAGCTTGCAGTATAATCAGGGGCTTTGCAAACCTGAGAGGGATTTGTCATATAAAACTTCAATGCATCTGTTTCAGTAGATACTGTCAAGCAAACAGAATGCTGGAATCAGCTGAAGGTACAAAAAGGACATGGGGAGTTGGGAAGCCAAACTCCTCAGCTTGGCTGAGCTGAAAAAAGGGGGCTTCAGTGTGGTGTTGAGACTTAAAGGAGCTTGAAAGCTATTTTATTGAGAAAATGCTATACAAAAGGGAGACCAGCATAAAATTGGAAACATCATTTACTCTTTGTTTCCAACTATACTCTTTTTTCATATTCTAGGATCAGATGACTTGTCTGCAAAACTGTGGGATGTAAGCACAGGTCAGTGCATATATGGTATCCAGACGCATACTTGTGCTGCAGTGAAGTTTGATGAACAAAAGCTTGTCACGGGATCTTTTGATAACACAGTAGCCTGTTGGGAATGGAGCTCTGGGGCCAAGATGCAGCATTTTAGAGGACACACAGGTGCAGGTATGTTAGCCTTTTCACTTTTCATACCATCAAACAAATCATAATTTAAATTAACTCTTTGCAGTCTACTTTTTTTTTTTTTTTTTTTTTGTCCCAAATCACCCTTTGGGAGAAAGGAGCCAAAACTTATGTAGATCTTTCTGCCCTTGAATAATACTAAGGCTTAGTTCCATGATATCATATGTGTTTACCTATAGAACTCTACAATGATGTGGTATTTCTGTAATTTGGAGTCTGACAAAAAGATGCAGATCCTACGTAACAGGGAGTTCCTTATAAGGAATAACTCAATTTGAGTTCCCTATAAGTCTGCAAACTGGGGAGGGATTTACGGGGAAGAGCATGGTAGGACCTGGGAATCTATATTTACATGTATCATAAAGAAGTTTTCCACCCTCTACTGCAACATATCCTCAGTTAAGCTGTGAGTCTCTTTAGAGTAAGGAGATGTACTAATCTCGTGCGAATTGACTTACTAGAACTCTTGCAATATAAGCTAGTTTATTTAAGTTATGCTTTACAGCCAAACTGGAATGACTGATTTATCAGCTTGTAATTTGGAGAATAATCAGTAATTTTGCAGTTACTTGTTGTTCTTATACCCATATACCCACAGCTGTTGTGGTGTATGAATTTTGAGACTACTTGACTTAATTAGTGTGTCACAGAAACACACATGCATAGAGACTGGTATTCCTCATTTAGAATCCTCTTTGCTTGTAGTTTTTAGTGTGGATTACAATGATGAACTGGATATTCTGGTCAGTGGCTCTGCAGACTTCACAGTGAAAGTATGGGCTTTATCAACAGGAACATGTCTGAATACCCTTACTGGACACACAGAATGGGTCACTAAGGTGGGAATATTGATTTTTTTTTTTTTTCTTAATAAATCTTACAAAACACTTGTAAGAAGTTTGCCACATGTATTTTTGTAGTTCTGTTTCCTAACAGGTGTTATCCTGCACCCAACTGTAGAATCTGGAGAACCTCATGAAATACAGATACTGCAAATAACTGCTATTCTAAAGCAGCTGGAATAATACTACACATCAGTGATTTATTCACAGATGAATGAATTCCTTGGTTCTGAGAGAAAGTGATTTTGAAAATCAAGTAGAATTCAAAAAAATTAAAAAAATCTTTAAAAAAATCAAATAGAATAACTATTTTGATAAAATCTTCAAAAATCTTAAGTTTGAGAATTGTTTTCAAGTCAGAACACAGTATTTTCCATCTGAGTGTTTCAGAATGTGGTAGGTGATAAGGAGATTTTTAGAGGGGAAGTATACATGCTATAGCTAATTGATACAGTAAGTTTAAAACTAGTCGAAACAGAAAAAACGCAGATTCTGCTTTCTTTTCAGTTGCTAAAAGTATCTGTATTGCTTTCATACAAGAGTATACTATCCAGATGGTCAGTTAAATAGATATTGCAAATGAAAGTCTGGGTAGTTTACAGCATCAAAAAAAAAAAAAATATATATATATATATATATATGTGTAAATATAAATATATTCCTTCAATTACAGGTAGTTTTGCAAAAGTGCAAAGTCAAATCTCTTATGCACAGTCCTGGGGATTATATTCTTCTAAGTGCAGATAAGTATGAAATCAAGGTATGTATAACATACACTAAGGTACCCAGGGAAATCAAATACCTGAATGCGTCCCTGAAATTTACAAATAAAATATGGCTTTATTTTCTTCCATAATCCATGCATGTAAAGTTGTGTAGAAAACAGTTAATTCTTTGGAAGCAAACTTTTCAATATCTAGATGGGCTTTGAGTGGTAGGTCTAGCGGAATGGTAATGCAAAATAATAGTGCTTTTAGTGCTTGCCTAATGTGTTGACTTCAAAGTGAAACATTTGCTACAAATATTGTTGCTAGAGTCTTTTGAATTGAATGATGCTCCAGATATGTTAGTTACAAAATTGTTTCATATCTGAAGCATCTTTCTTCTCTCTCCAATTGGATGATGGGTATTTTTTTTTTTGACGTTTTTTAAAAACAACCAGGCACGCAGCTTTCACTGTGATTTTTTTTTTTTCAGGCTACAAGCAATACATATTGAAACAGTATCATGAGACTGGATATTATGGAATAGGAATTCCTACTTAAAGTAGAAAAATAATTATAAAGAACACATGCATGTTTACTGGCTTATAAAGAGATTGTAACCTTGCTTTATTTATGCAATGGTTTAAAATCAGAATATTTTACAGTCTTAAACTGTCCTTTAATTGTAGATTTGGCCTATTGGAAGGGAAATAAACTGCAAGTGCTTAAAAACATTATCTGTTTCTGAAGATCGCAGCATCTCCTTGCAGCCCAGACTGCACTTTGATGGTAAATACATAGTCTGCAGCTCAGCTCTAGGATTGTACCAGTGGGACTTTGCCAGCTATGATATTCTCAGGTAAATCTTTCAGTTTAAGACTAAGGTGTGTAAACTTATTCTATAGTTCTTCTTTAAGTAAGAAATAGACCGTATTACTTTCAGTATCTGAATATGTGTAGAGCATCCTACTGTAAGGTGATCTACTGCAGAACAAGTGCTTTTTCTCACTAAGAATAATTCCATAGTTTTACCTCTTATTCTATAAGGCTCGGAAGAACATACAGCAGTCTGTGCTGCTGAGAACAAACTTTGATCTCAGTATGTTTTTGAATTCTAGTTCTTTACTTCATGTAATGCTATCATCAAATGCTCTATCAGTGTAGGAAACTCACTCTCTCTCATTACTGTTCGAGTTTTCTTTGGAAGGCAACAAAGCCCTCAAAGATGTACTGGAATTAACACATACTGTTATTTCCCCCTAAAATGAAAATGTTTAGCCTCGGCTAAGTGTTGTAACACAGCATTCCGTTAAGTGTCAGTCCTGAATGAGCTATGTAATCATCACCAGAGGACATTCCTGTTTCATCTCCAGCTTCTAAAAGAACGATCTAAGGAATAATAACAGGTTATTCTTCTTAATTTCAAGAGGGCTGAGGCTGCCAATCACTATGACAATTTGCTGTTTCAAGTCTGGAAACAGACTTCATTCTCTTCCTTTCAGCTATGCAGAATCTTCTTCCTGCCTTAACCTCTACTTATATTTAAAAGAGTCTGTCCTGGAGAATATGCAATTCTTAAAGTAATATGAAAAAAAACAATGCATCAAGCTTTTTCTAAATCCTTTGGGCTTGACAACTTTAGACACTTAATCTCTACAGACATACATAAGGATTTACTTATCCTTATGTAAAACATTTACTTATCCTTTATAGTAAAACAAGCTCATGGCTACATAGTGAAAGATTTTCTAACAATATTGTCTTATCTTCTAGGGTTATCAAACCTCCTGACTTCTCAAATGTGTCCTTGCTGGGCTTTGGAGAGATATTTGCTCTACTGTTTGATAACAGATACTTGTATATAATGGACTTGAGGACAGAAAAACTGCTCAGTCGCTGGCCTCTACCAGAGTATAGAAAGTCTAAGAGAGGTTCAAGCTTTTTGGCTGGTGAAATGTCTTGGTTGAATGGACTAAATGGCCAAAATGATACAGGCTTGGTTTTTGCCACCAGTATGCCAGACCACAGTATCCATTTGGTATTATGGAAAGAACATGGCTGAAAAGATCACACATGGCAGAATCTTCGGGAATATATGGACTATCAGCTGTGTGTCCACAAAATAAGAATTTGCATGAACCAAAGTTGGACACCTAATGGTATCATCATGCAATGCACAATCACTTTTATTTGAGCATTTGGGGTTGTTTTCGATGTAATGCAACACAGCATGCTAACAGTATTTACCACTAAATTTTGTCTGTACTCATGTTGAAGCATACTTATTTGGGCTCTGAAACATAGCTTGTAAAGTTTAAACCTCTCAAATTCACCATCAAATCTAAAATGAAGTAATGTTTGACTTGACTTTTGCCCTTTTTTTTTTCTTTTTGAAACAGAAAGTGAAGCTACTATTTTAGAACAATAGACTTTTGTACCTGTAACAAAAAATACTGGCTACAGTGTGTGGCTGTTAAACGAGAACACCCTCTCTCTCTCTCTCTCTTTCACTCTAGTATCAATCTCTTCAAGACATTTTGTTTTCCTTATAATAGCTTTCAATGCTTAGCCTATGAAATTGAAGAATTGGTTTAATCCTTTAACTAAGATCAGATGCCAACAATAATAACTTGTCTGAAGTCAGTAGTACACTGATGCAAGCTTTCTTCATTAGAATGAGCCAGCGTTTTGGGTATCTCATAAAGTTGGTCCTGGCAACCAACCTCAGAGGATATCTGTCATTGTTTACCATATTTGCCAATGGTGCAATTATGACAAAAAAGACTTATTACCATCACTATAAACTTACTGTACTTCTCCAAAAACTGCTCATTGGCACCAATATTAAAGAAACAGTTTGGACCATGTGTTGGTCATCTCATGAGACACTATGGAGTACTCTAGTTTATCTTGCTCAGACTGTTTTGATCAGTGTTTTAGAGTCCCATGATTCCTACAGCATGTGTGAGAATGTAGCTTAATTTACCAGTAAGTGGAAATATAATGAAAGGAAAGCTGATGTTCAATCCCTACAGCAAGACTTGATCTTTTGTATTAAAGGGGGGCTACCAGACATTCACATTTTGCAAATAATGCAGTTAATAGAGTGATGTGCTTAAAGTAGTTGTTAACTGTAGATTGGAAAGCAGAAACAAATAACAAGAATAGGAATTTAGACAGGAACATGCCAAAAAAAAGAAAAAAAAAAGGCATAACCAAATTGATTAAATTTGTATTAGATATATGGACTGTAAGACAGGTAGAAAATTGGCTGCACTGCCAGGCTCAGGTTGTTGATCAGTGAAAGCTTATCCATCTGGAAACTAGCTATAGTGTCCTTGAACAGACAGAACTGCAGCCAATTTTCTTCAACATCTTTATTAGTGATGCAACTGAGCAAGTTGCTGGACAGTCTGAAACTAGCGGGGAGACAAGGCACTATGGGAAGGGAAAGCCATCAGTAAATYAAAGAGTAGGGATCCTTTTCTGAGGGACAGATGGGAGAAATGGGCTGACAGAAGCCTCATAAACGTGAAAGAAAGCAAATACTAAGTCCCGCACTTGACAATACAATGGCATGCAAGAAGACAGACTGGAACAGGTTTACAGGAAAGGATCCACAACTAATTTTAACAGGACCTGTGACTGAGCAGGACATCTGTATCCTGAGCTATACTGGGAAGTGCAGGTCAAGGTTAGGGATTCTTCCTCTCCAGCATGTGAGATCACATCTGCCCAGATTCCAGTGTGAAGCTCCCCAATACAAAACAGATAGGACCACACAAAAAGTCTAGTGAAAGACCTAAGAGATAGATGGTGGACTGCAGTATACTGTCTAAAAAAAAAGCATGAAAGTTGGGTATGTCCAGCTTTCAGAAGAGATCTGGGGCTGGGGGAGAGAAGCAGAGAGACATCTTATTACTTCCTCCAAGTACATAAAGGGAGAACACAGGAAGAAAACATCAGATTCCTCTGGCTGCCTTGTAGCGGAAGGAGCAATGATCATGAATTGCAACTTCAGAAACTCCAGCAAACTCTCATGAATCCAATAGAAGATAGTCTACCACTGAAACAGCTTGACTGGTTGGTTACAAGTCCAACCTTTCAGGATAAGTACCTGAGACCATCCTACTTTGAGCAGGTAGTTGAACTGCACACCTCCAGCTGCCCCTTCTAACTATATGAATATCTAATTTTCAATGAATCCCTCAGTAAGCAAATTACTGCCTGTGCAGCAGGCACCGCTAACATAAACACAACTTCCAGAGTTTCCTGAGCTGTAGCACCTTGGCAGATGTTACCACTGTGAAGTCACTACTACAGCTTGTTAAAGTTTACTGGAAAAGGGATTCTGCTATTTCCCAACTTCCAAAATGTTCTGAACAAATTATTACTCCTAAATTTAAGTATGTGGCACCACAAAAGAGGCAATGAAAATGTGGAGGATTGTAAGTTAAATATATGAAAGCTTGCTCCTAATCACCTTCTTTCTCCCTATCTTGCCCTCTGCCCACATACACAAGGGGTTTCCTGGGGATGGGGGGAAAGGGAAGACCTAGCAAACACAAAACATGACTAAAAGTGAGAAATTACAGCAAGTGCTTTTTTTTTTTGCTTCCTTGCTTGCTTTTCTATCTGATCCTTTAGATTAAAAATGAAAAATTACACTGTACTTATTTACATAGGAGTTGGGGAACATTCACATCCACATAATGAAGCAAAACAATACAGCTTGATAACCATATAACAAATTAAAATCTTATCGGGGGGGAGGGGGGGTCTGATTCTGGTAAATGAAACCAAAATGTTAATCTTCAAATCTAGGGTGGAAAGAAAGAGGGAAAAAAAAGAAAAAAAAAAGAAAAAACATAAGTAAACTGCCATTATTTCTTACTGTCATCCCACACAGCAACAAGCTGCCTTAAGGCCTTATCATCAGTCTGTAGCCCCTTACCCCATTTTAACAGTTGCAATACAAAGCAGCACTCAGCACGTTCAATAGCTTCAGAGCAGCTGTTAGTAGCAAATAAAAAGCTATCACTCTGTCTTAAGCAAATTACARCTCTCACAGAACTAGGTACTTGACAAAAACTCTAAAAGCTATGTTTAGTGTTATAGTAATTCACCAATTTAACAAACCCTATTCTCAATAATATGCTTTTTTAATTGAAATAGGTGTGTTTGCTCAAGTCATTTTCCCACTGCATTAGAGACACAAGTAAACAGCTATATTTTTCGGTAGCCTCTAAAGACAGCTACATTTCTTCCCCCACCACGTATTTAGATATTAATAACAAGTTAATTCTTTCTTTGTACTGGACACATGCAAGAGGGTAGGAAAGCAAAAAAGACAGAAAGCAGGAAAATCCTATTCCAGCATTATGAGTTCCTATGTCTTGAGTAATGCCCTTTCAAACTTACAGGCTATTAAACAAAAAAATTATCATTAAGCCTAAGGTCTCACATTTCAAAAAGCTGCAGAAGAGACTTTATCAGAAAAACTTAGCTGTGTATTAGACCTTGATAACTTTGTATTATTATATAGAGGCATATTTCAGGTCACAGATTAAAAAAAGTACCTTCATACAATGCATAAAAAGAATCACTCCATCACCATCCAATTTTACAAAACTCTGCATGTGGAAATATTTCCAGTGTGAGCTTTTATATGACACCTTTTGGCTCCCCATGGGCATGGGCAGCTCTCCACTTTGCCTCCTTACAACCAAGGTTTCACTCTTGACCTTAAAGTACTGTTTGATACAACACTTTGTTAACATTCATGATTAAGGATGAGTTATACCTCCACAACGTTGTATCCCTGATCAGGGACTCCTGGGGAAGGTTTCCTTGGAGGGGCACTCTGCAGTGATAAATAAGGGCAACATCCACAGGAACGCTCACGCTGTTCCCATAAGCACGTAGGACTGAGTGAACTGAAGTCTGAACCACCTTTCTGGGATCAATTATCATTTTTTTGGGATTGATTACATCTTTCCTGTCTGGTTCCCTGTGAACATGCTGCAATATGTTAACACCTGGTACAACATTCCAGGATGAAATGTTGAAAGTGTGGGTAGATATGGTTTCAGGGAAAATATGATTCTCAAAGAGAAAAACGCCAGTCCCTGGGTTTTGTTCCTGAAGACTTTTCATCATTGTTTTCCAGTCTGGGTGCTTAAGGGGAAGAATTATTTCATCTGCATCATTAAGAACCACAAACTTGCTCCGCAGCATATTACGATATACACAGTCATTTAGGGCTGTGATTTGGCCATAATAACCAATGTGCGTTCCATCTTGCGTGAAATGCCATTTAGTAGAAACCTTGAGGTATGAATTTATTGGCCAGGGAATTATCTCTACAGTTCCTTCTTCCATATAAAACTTCAAGACTTTCTCCATCAGCTGGCTGCAGCTGTTCTTATAGATGACRACTTTCTGCACCCCAAGAATCTTGTACATCTCCATACTCTGTATAAACTGTAGGACATTGTTGTAATTTCCAAACATGGCAGAGATGCATACAGTGAAATCAACAGAAAAAGTGTCAACTTTGCGGTTTTTAATTTCAAACCTTGGTAGCTGGTCAATATTTCCATGCGGGGACCAGTGGATTGACACATGTGTTGGATCACAGTTTGGCGGTTCCAAACAAACTATGTCTGCTGCACCATAAGGGAATCCAAATCTATCTGAATGAACATCAATTTYTGMWTTKG